AGCTTACTCGTTCAATGAGTCCGCTTACACTTTCACTTACACTTGCAGTTGCACATATTTTTCTCTCGTGTGATAGAGGCATTAGTTTGTTAAAGAAATATCATGGTAAATATTAACTTTAGAATATTTTTTTTAATTAAATTTTTAATTTTGTTTTTGTAAAATTGCTAAGTCTTTTTTATTATTTCGGAAATTCTTTTTCGTTATAATATGAATTCGCGATTCAGTTCACTGTGCATGCCAAAACTTAAGTATTTCTATTGTATAGACCCTGTGTGTGATGTAGTGCACAAAAAATGAATTACCCTGAATAACTTTTGATCTAATGAATAGATCTTCCATCACTAGGACACAATCATAATGGTTCGAGAGGCTGAACTCATGCATAATTAATTAATGGAGATATTTTAAATTTCGAAATCAGACGAAAAAATGTATTTGCTAAACAAAAAAAACATCCCTTTTTTGGCGGATTCGAATTTCTGACTCTTAAAATATGGAAGGTAGCTACAATTTTGGAAATATAGTCCCAATAGTTTGATCAGGAGATCGGTCGAAATTTTGGACCCATTAATTTTACTTTTACCTTTTTGCATATTTCACTATATCTTGGGTCATTTTTAAACGAAACAAAAAGCAAACAAAAAACTTAGCTCACGATTATAAAATCCGTTTTTTCAAAGATAATTTCAGGCAAAAAATAATTTTTAACAATTATTTGTTGTTTTTTATTATTTTATATAATTATAGTGAAAAAAATTGTGAATTGTGAAGCTTACAAATTTTTACATCACGTTAAATAATACAATTTTTAAGGCAAAATGCATAATTTAAGAGAAATCGGTTGAATAATTCCTGATAAATTAAATTTCAGACAAACGACTTCCTTAAAATTCGATTTCTCGAAAACTTATAGATCGAATTGGTTCAAATTTTCCATTTTGCCTTACAAAGTTTTATTCTTTAGAATGATATAGGAATTTGTATACCTTATAATTCAAAATGTTTTCGACTGTTATTAAATAAAATAATAAGAAATAATTGTTTAAAATTAGTTTCTGCCTTTTAAAAATTAGTTTTAGTTTTTGTTCATCTTTGGATAAACAGATTTTATAATTGTGGGCAAAAATGTTTCGATTCGCTTGAAAGATTTCTTAAATATGGGAAAATACTCAAAAATATTAACATTAATGGGTCAAAACTTTCAACCGCTTGCCAGACTAAACTATTGGGACCATATATCTTGATTGCGGCTACCTCCTATGTATTTTGAGGGTCAGGAAACTAAATCTCTGGAGAAAAAAAAGTAGTTCCATTCAGAGAAAGTACTTTTCATATCTGATGATTTATCTGTAAATTGTTTTTTGTTTTTGTCTTTTTTAAAACATTTCTAAACTTGTTTCGAATGAAAACTAAAAAAAAAGCTGAATTAAGAGATCATCGCAAAAGAATAAAACGTTTAGAAAATTATCTTTTATTATTTGATTACAGACTTTATTATATAGGGATTTGTTACATTTTTTAATATCATTAGATAAAATTCTTGAATTTAAACAATTAATTAGTTATAATGTATAATTTGTAAGACTTAATATTAGCAAATTTTTCTACATACATGTTAGATTAGGCAGAATTTTTATAATAATAATCTACTGTCTGACTGTGTTGAAGTCGTAGACAAATTTATATCGTTAAAGATTGTGCTGCATAGTTACTTCGTAATTCTGTTAATACATTTATTCTTAAGAATAATTCTAATTAATTTATTTAAATAGCTGTTGATGGCCGTCGTTATGACAAGTGTGAAACACCAGATGGTCGTCAAGGAGTGTGTGTCGTGAAACGATATTGTCGCGAAGCTACATTTCAGTCTCTTGAAGCTTGTGACAATGATGACAATTTCTGTTGCCCGATCACGACGCATAGATCTGCAAAGCCACCAATTTATCCCATATCAGAACCACACAATACAAGAAATGATGATATTCCAAAAAGCGTCCGTAACGCATCACATGACAGTGATCATCGATCGGTGATCGGTGATCAAAGGCCTGTATATGGCCATGCTAATCCAGAAAGAGACTCCTTGCCGCACATACCAACAGACTCTCATAAAGTGCTGTCATCTTCTAGCGGTGGTAACCGGCGAAATGTAACTTCTTACCACAATTCAGAAGAGCCAAAGAGTACAAGAAATGAGAATCCTCCAAAAAACGTTCCAAATGAATCACCAGACGATCGTCGATCAATGGCACGTGATTCTTACAATGGAAATGAAAGACCAGTAAATGGTCGTGCTGATTCTGGGGCAGATTCTTCACCAAATGTACCAATAAACTCTCATAGAGTGCCTTCTTCTTCAAGCGGTAGTAACAGACAGACTGTAACTTCACACCGCAATCCGGAAGAACCACGAAGTACAAGAAATGAGAATCCTCCGAAAATCGTTCCAAATGCGTCACCTGACAGTGATCGTCGATCAGTGCCACGGGATTCTTATAGTGGAAATCAAAGACCAGTATATGGTCATGCTAATTCTGAGACAGATTCTTTACCAAATGTGCCAGTGAACTCTCACAGAGTGCCTTCTTTTTCAAACGATGGTAACCGACAGACTACAACTTCACACAGCAATCCAGATGAGGATTCATCAAAAAGCGTTCCAAATGCGTCACCAAACACCGATGATCGGTCGAAGACGCGTGATTTTCCCAGTGGCAATCAAAGGTCAGTGTATAACCAAGCTAACCGTGGGAGGGGATCTTTTCCTAACATACCACCAGACTCTCATAACGTGCTATCTTCTTCCAGAGGAAGTAATCAACAACCTGTGTCTTCCCATCATAATCCTGAAGATGATTTTCAACCAGACATGAAAGAAAACAGAAAAAGAACCATAATCTCTGAACACTCTGTTAACAAATCATATATTCCAACGCAAGGTGGAAGAGTTAAGTTTGAGGATGCAGAACATTTATTTAATGATCGCAACAACAAAAATCGAAGGCTCAAGCCTCTGTCATCTAATAGCAATGTGAAACCATCGGTTGAACCCAGGTAATATAATTTTTGGCGCTATTAGAAAAATTTAATTCTAGCTCTAGTTTTTCTACTATCTTTATATATTTTTGTGATTCCCCCTTATTTTTCAACCATTTTCCATTTTATGGAAAATTAACAAAGCGTAAAGTAAAAATCGGAGAAATATAAAACTAGTAATATCATTAAATTTACCCCGCTCTCAAATATTCCGGATTAAATAATGACACTCAGAGTACCAATACATTTCACCTTATAATTATATGGAACAAAAAATCGAATAATATCGAAATTTATAGAGTAATGTTTACGGTAAAATCACCGAATCACTGTAATCAACTAAATATTACAGTAAAAATTACTGTATAAAATTCAAATGGATTTTACAAACGCCGTATTTAGATTTTTAAGTACTTTTTACTGTAATTTGATCCGGAATTTTTTTGCTGTGTACGCTGAATACAAAAACGACTGTTAAAATCTTCTAAAAACTTCAAAGCCATAAATGGACACATAAAGAACTAATGATTTCTCGATAATATAACATATTCTATGAAATTCTTTTGTTGTTGTTGTTCATTTACGTCGCGCTAGAACTGCACAATGGGTTATTGGCGACGGTCTGGGAAACATCCCTGCGGATGATCCGAAGACATGCCATCACAATTTTGATCCTCTGCAGAGGGGATGGCACCCCCGCTTCGGTAGCCCGACGAACTGCACGCGAAGTCGAGCACTTTACGGTAGAACAGTTTAACGAGGACCAATACCGCACACCCTCGGTCCCTACTCAGGCTGATCTAAGTGGTCACCCACCCGCACACTGACCGCAGCCAGTGATGTTTGACTTCGGTGATCTGCTGGGAACCGTGTCTTAATGATCAGTCCACTGCAGGACATGAAATTAATTTCACTTGGTATATTGTAGGGAAATTTTCATCAAATGCCCTGAAATCAATACTTTTTGAAAGATAACGACTTTAAAGCTTAAAAAAATATATTAAACTAGGAGGCTCCGCCCCCTGCTCGCTGACACTCGCCAACCCCCGAGAAATGCTACGCAATCCTATGTGGTTCACGCCGTGAACCATGGCTCGCTGCGCTCGCTCGCCAATGAACACAATGTTCTAGCACAAAGACATAGTATATTATCATCAAAGACATAGTATTTTATCATCAAAGACATAGTATTGTACTTATGTAGAAGAATTCTATCAATGTTCTTATTGGCTTTTAAAAAAGTATATTAGCTATTTAGATTGTACATGGTGAAAAAATCAAAACATTAGCTTTAGCAAAGTAAATTATCAAATATTGCAGTTACTCACCTAAATTCAACTAAATGTGTATAATAAATTAGTTAATGCTAGAAATTCTGAAAGTTTTAGAAAAAAATTTTATTATTTAAAAATATAAACTTTGAACCCTAACTTTTCCTTGTGAGATAATAACCCTCAAAAAGTCTTTCATTTTCAAGAACACAAAAATTTGTTTTATCGCCAAATGAAGTATTTTTTGGTGTTCATACATAACATTTTACATAACAAAGTACATAAAATTTTAGAACAAAATAAGGATGTTTTACATGCAATAAATTAAAATGCATGGCTGTTAGCATTAGCCGAGAAATACCACGTGGAGGTCGCCATGCTACATTTCTAATCGGGGAGTTTTGATTTTGGCAGTTCCCCTTGCCTACTGCCAATAGAAGTTTCAATTAAATTTTTTCCAAAAAACATTTTTTTGTGCAAAGCTCTAAGAAATTAACACTAAGCATTTAGAGTTTCTTTGAAAACACAATTATAGATTTGGCATCTTGGAGCAATTACTGAAAGGCTGTCAAATGACTTAACTCTTGACAGGCCAACATAAAGTTGTCCATGACTAAAAACTTGTTTAGTCAATACTAAACTGATTTTCTCAAAAGTCTGACCTTGTGACTTATTTATAGTCATGGAGAAGGCCAGCCTAATTAATTTCTAATTGAGTTTAAAATAAATATTATCATGTTTTTAGGGCATGAATCTGAATTGAACAACCTGATAATGCTCACTCTGGTTATTGTTTCCGTTTTTAAAAGCGCTATATGTTGAACCACCTCATGTGACATATACCATGTGACATTTTCAGCAGCAATCATTGGTCGGTTTTCTAACGTTGCCATTCGGGGAGTTGTAATGAGGCTTTTTTTTTTGGTGCCGTGTAAGAGAAATATATATAGATCATTTAAATATTTTACTACTTTTAAATTAATGATAAATTCTGTTTAGCTGATATATTATAATGTTTTTTGAAATAATGAGACGTGTTTATGTTTAAAGAGAAAATTAGCCCTAAAGATTTAGCAAGCTTCTCCTCAAATGTCTCAAATCATAATATATCGAAAACGAAATTGAATTGTTTGTGAGATAGCGACTTTATAAGAAAACAGAGTATTTGCAAACAGTGTTCTTTAAAAAATATTCTAAAAATTATGGATAATTCTGCCAAATATGAGTCTTAAATGTTTTGACAATTTCTTACTACATCAAACTGAAGGTTAACAACGTATCACACTGAAGAATAACAACTGAACGTTAAAGACGCATAAAATTTAACTTTGATAACATGATTATATTTAAAATTTTAAAGAGATAAATTTAGAAACTTTAGCTTAGTACAACTTTTAGGAGTATTTAAAATTTAATTTGAATTAAGTACAACTTTTCCGAATTTGAATTTTCAGGTACAACTTTTCAGAGTATTTAAAATTGAATCTGAAATATTGGGTACAATTTTTCTGAATATTCAACCTACCTGAATATTAAAACAATTTACAACAATCATTATGATTCTTTTTTTTCTTCATTAAAGCCATTTTCCTTATAATAAATAAATAATCCTGTGAAACTGAAACAGTAAGATATTAACTGATAAAAAATTTCATTCGCTTAAAAATATGCATATTGAAACTAAAAGTCTAACATGTTTTAAGCGCTCAAATATTGGCGCCCATTTTCAAGACTTCAAACGTGAATGAGAAGAATCAAAAATGATTTGAAATAGAAAACGCAATGTTGCCTTTGAAAAATGGAAGAATAAATGTGAGAGACAAAACTTGAAAAACCGCAGTAGCCGAGGGGGGTTAAAGATGCAGAACAAGAGAAACACAGTGGTCGAGAGGGGCAAAACAGGGCCCTCCTGCTTACTGCTGTATTTAAAGTTTTGTTCCTCACTTACATTTTTTTTTTTTGGCTACTTTATACTTTTCATTTCAAATCACTTTTGTTTCTTCTTATTGACATCTGGTAAATCTTGAAAATGGGTGTTTATTTTTGAAACACGTTGACTACTATTTCAAATTTGTATACTTTTAAAGCGCATGAATTTTTTAATCAAGCATTTTCTTTATAGATTGTAAAAACCATCATTAAGCTTGAGATAATAAAAGAATAAACACAAAAATATTTTTATCGTCATTGATTAATAACTAATAATGCATCGAGATAAAGCTAAGATCAAAAATGCGGTGAATAAAGAATCATAATTAAAAATATTAGGAAGAGTTGGATTATTCTCTTAAGAATAATCCAACTCTTCCTAATATTTTTAATTATGATTCTTTATTCACCGCATTTTTATTAGAAAATTTCAATTATCATCAGATTTTATTGCAGTTCCTATAGCAATTGAAATTTTTTGCGTCTTCTGGTTCGCCATGAAGCAAAAACAAGCATTTATTTTATATCTATAACATATACTATAGAATTAAAAATACGGCACCCTTAAACTTTTACAGCCTTAATAACATATATTATGAATATACATGAAAGTTCATTATTTTTTGAAAACTTTAATTTTCAATTAATTATATAAGAATTGATAAGATTAAGAACCTTTTTTAAAGAAACTCAGTCAGGCAGAAAACAAATAATTATATAATGATGTATACTATGCGAAAACAAAACGAGCACCTTGAATAGCTTTTGATCTGTAGGAACTAGCATAACGTTCTCACATTTGTGGGAGCCAAAGATAACATAACAGTCAGAATATAAAAATAAAAGTTTTATTTTCCGGAAAAAGATACAGTCACAAAACTGAGTGACTAACTTAAAATAAATTAAAATACAAAAGAAAGAGGAAAGAATATCAAGATGTGCTCGATGACTGGTTGCAGGTTTGGTATTCCCTTCGATCTAGCGAACTCTACAGATCTAAGATCAGGTTTTATTGAACTAGGATTGAATCTTACCTAGGATCTTGAAGTTTGTTAATTATTTTTGCTCACGATATTTTAATGCATTAAATCAGATGCAAAATTATTCTTTCTCTAATTAAACAAACTTTTTTTCGTGACACATTCGGGTTTTTGACCCTTTGAAATGTAGGTACTAGCCGCAATCTGGACTATATGGTTTTAATAATAGTTAGAGAGAGTGATCGAAACTTCGAACACCTTCATGTTAATTTCACTTTTTGAGAGTTTTGCCATCTTTTAAACAAAGCGGGAAAAAAATATTTTTGAAAATTATGATGAAACGCAGTTATCTAAAGATGATTCCTTGCTAAAAGTTATTATTATTTAACTTATTTATGAGAATGAAAATTTATCTAAAACTAAATAAATTTTTATTTCAACTATAAAAAACAAAATCCAAAATTTGAAAAAAGTGGTAGATTATTTCTTGAGAAATAGAAATTTAAACGTACGACTTCTTTGAAGTAGCGAAAAACGCAAGAAGTGAATGGGGTTTAAACTTTTGCCTGCTCTCCTGATCTGAAGCTTTTTAGGTAATTTTAGGGGAAGAATCAGAATCTTTCGAAGAAAAGATATATTTATTTAGATAAAGTACGTTTTCGTGTATAATTCGTTACTTTATATATCATCTGCATAAATTTATGATTAACCCCTCGAATCATTAAGATCGAAACCTAATGTTTGAAAATCCGATTATTAAATCAAAGTTATACTGGGCGTTTGCTATTTTTTCTGAAGCATTGTGCAAATATTGTTAGATAAATAAAATAAAATATAATGATGTATAATAAAATATAAAACTATTCTTATTCAATTAAAAAAAATATCCTTATTCAATTAAACTAAATTTTTTAAACCTTATTTTTTTCACTCGTTTTACATTGTCTTTATTACTTATCTAACTGCATTTAACAGTGAAAAAGATTCACACAATCGTCAAAATTCTGCTGGACCAGATTCTGCAACAAATAATCGAAATGTAAATCCCGGACCACTGATTTCTACTTTTGGACATTATCCCTCCGTTCATCAACTCGAAGTACAAAAACTGCCGAGCAATCCAAGAAGATTGAAACCATTTCATAATGAGGAAAATAACGACACATTTGATGGCAATGTGAGGCATACATTTTATCCACACACTCAACCGAAAGTTCCAGGTCAGTTACCTCAAATACTTTAATGGTTGTATTTATCTTTTCTATCAGTTATATCAGTTTCTATCAGTTATAAGTTTCCTATAGAGCTAAAACCCGAGAACGCCAGACCTGCGTCATAATATAAAATATTTTCAACGCACGTCCATTAAGGAGGCTAAAAACGGTCGGCTATTATTAACAATGTATCGCACTGGCTTTGGTAGGTAACAGGTGGCAAAGATGCACATAAATGCGCCATTTTATAAAAGTGGAATTTTTTATATGTTATTAGGGCAACTATTTTAAGATGTTTCCCAAACATCCGGACAGTACGCATGCTAAAAACCACCCCCGGACACTCTTAAAGGCTAAGAAAATGGGAATATACTAACATTATTTTATAAAGGCTAGATTTTAAGTATTCTATTTGGTCAACTATTTCAAGATGTTTCCCAAGCCGCCGGATAGCTCTCATGATGGAAACCACCTGCCGAACACCCTGAAAGGCTAAGAAAATGGGACCATACTATCATTTAATAAAAGCTGAATTTTACGTTTATTATTTGGGTAACTATTTCAAAATGTTTCTCAAGCCGCCGGACAGAACGCATGCTGGAAATCACCTCTGCCAGGCACCTTTAAAGGCTAAGAAAATGGGACACGTCATTTTATAAAAGCTGAATTTTAAATATTTTATTTGGGCAACTATTTCAGGATGTTTCCCAAGCTGCCGGATAGTTCTCATGCTGGACACTCTTGTTCGTTAATGAAATGTGACTGTACCAGCATAATTTCATAAAATCTGAATTCTATATATGTTATTTGGTCACTATATTGAAGTAGTCGGACAGTTTTGAAATTTCTAACACACTATCGAACTGTTTTGAAGTTTATAATCATGTAATCCCTTGTCAGACAGTTTCAATGTCTCCCTCTTCAATGTTTCTAACTCAATTAAAGTTTACTAAATTTTAATTGTAATTTCGCCCTTTAATAAAATTTAAATTTTATATAAAATTCAAATCTTAAAAAAATTATGATGTGTGGACAACAATTTTAAAATGTTTTCCCAAGTAGCCAGACAGTCTTTCAGTCCATTTTTGACATTGTTGTAGGCCCGCGGTATGTTTGTGAGCTTAATGACTTATAAGCGTGTACTAGTAAGATAGATTTAATACGGTTTCTTTTGTTGTGCATCATTCGTACCCCACGACAGATGCGTTCTATGTAAATACTTATAAGTTAGCCTTAAATTGCTTCAGAATAATTTTTAAAAACAATTTGCTGCAAATTAGGCACTTTCTACAAAACTGTTTATGATTTGTTCAAAATAATTAAAACATTTTGCTTAAAAAGTTGACAATCACGTCAATGTAGTAATTAATTAACAATTTTATATCCCTTTAATATTATTGCAGCTTTTAAAAAATATTAGTTCTGAAAAAAGCCGGCTTTTTTTAATTTTAGCTTGACTTTTTGGTGGTTTAAATCAAAACACTGACCGACTCGTTTTTGGCCTGACTCAAATCTAGAAAACCTGCGAGTGACATGTATATAGTTCAGATTTTGAAAAATGACGTCGTTATACTCAAATTTCATTAACTTTAAAGGGTGTTCGGTAGCTGATTTTTATATTTCGCCCTTGACCCTTAAATCATCTTAAAATAAAATCATCTTTAGATAGTTGCCCAAGTAACTCATTAAAAAAAAATCAAAGTATAAAAGGACGTAAGTAGGGTCCCATTTTGTGCATTTTGAAACCTGTTACCTGCCAAAGCCAGTACGTCTCATCATTAATAATAGTCAATCCGTTCAAACCTACCTTAGTCTACTTGCGTAGAAAAATTTGGACCTTACATTTTGACAGGAACAGAAAACATTAAGGAACAGAAAACATCAAAGGAACAGAAAACATTAAAACGTTAAAAATACAATACATTTGTAATATTTTCACAAACGTAAAAAATACAATACATTTGTAATATTTTCACAACCGCAAAAAATACAATACATTTGTAATATTTTCAATAAACAAATACACTTCAAAAAGCTTAGAAGTGATTATATTTACTCCTTAAAAATATAATATTTTCTATTCCGTAACTGTAATTAAAGTTTTAAATTTGGGTTTTTAAAACATAACATAAACTTTGACGAAATGTTTAAATTGCTCTGGTGTAAAAAATATATATGCATGTATGGTGCCTGTATCTATTTGTTTGATACTAAACTAATATATTAAAGAGCAAAAAATTAAAAAATATTTAAAAATAAACTAAAGTTTAAAAAATATATTGACATCATTTTTCTTCCGAAACAGCTGTCTATTATTAATTAATTCATTTAAAGCAAAATCTTCAAAATTTTTGTGAAATTCATTAACATACCATTTCCCACTTTCATTTTTATTTTCAATTTTACAATGCTTTCACTGTTCTCAACAATGTTTTACGAAATTCTTACAATAACAACTCAAATTTTTCTAAGTTTCATTATATATTCGTAGAGTCCCTAGTTGATTGAGAAATTAACCTGTTTCTTTAACTGCATAACTATGAAATATTCAAGTTCACTACATTTACTTAAATTTCTTATGATTACGAAATAAATAATTCGTTCTGCATGCATAAACTGTTATAGTTAAGGCATAAACTTGCTAATTGGTCCTTCGGGTATTAATAGTAAGCATGCAGAGTACGCAATACTAAAAAAAAAAAAGAGACTAACCGATTTATTTTTGGTTTAACGGAATGTTCTCTTGAAAAATTTAAATTACATTGCTTAAGAATTCAAATTTAGAATATAAGTTTTATTATTCTAAATTGCATTGTTTAAGAATATAAATAATTTAATACCTTAAAATTTAAAAAAATAAGTTTATTATTTAAAAAAAACAAGGAAATAATAAGTAATTACTAAGTTTTTGAATAGAATTTTACATAAACGTGTTGAAAAAATATTTAGCTACGTAAATATTTTTAAAGGTATGGTAAAATACACATAACTTGAAATATTGACTGCATTCCATTTGGGACCCTATTTACCAGACTATTATTACCATAATAGTCTGTTATTACTATTACTAATTACTACCAGACTATTATTACTATTATTACCATAATAGACTGGTAAATATGGTCCAATCTTTGAGTAATCATATCCAAATCCACAATAAAAGAACTATTTATATAGAAAAAATAATTTAATTGATATGTAACTCCAATTAATTAGTATCTCTAAAGTGTGTCATCAAACGATTAAGATTATATTTTATGTTGTGAAAAATCCCATCATTCGATCAAAAATAACTTCTCCTTTTTTTTACTCATTATTTTCCTTATTATAAACTACAGTACATTATTGTTATTAATTATGGCAGCATTTTTAAAAAAAAATTGCTTAGTTAAATGCGCACCATCTTATCAATAGTAATTAATTTAGCGAACACTTATCAAATATCAATGGCTCAGTTGGCGCTCTTTTCTCTAATATTGAAATAAATTGTTACATTTTATTTTTTAACTTTTATTCTTGGATAGCATGTGGTGTGAAACCTTACGACTTATTTATTGCTGGTGGCGAAACATCAGAAGCCTACGAATGGCCTTGGATGGTAAGTTAAAGAATATTTCCGTTGCATAATTTAGTTTATGTAATAAAGTCACGTCTCCGAATCGTATATTGATTGAAAAAAAATGCCATTCAAGAAAAATGCAATCACTTTAATAATATGCTATGTGTGTATAAGATATATTATATACGGACAAGCATAACTGCTAACGTTATAATGCGTATGTGTGAATGTAGATTGTTAAATTACTTATGAAATAACTTTTCCGCGTTGACAACAAACTAAAAACTGAAATTCCGAACAAGTCATCAGTCAAACGTATGCGTTTCGAGTTTCAGAATGAAACTTCTTTTCTCGGGTGGGCAATGCAAAGCTGAGATGAATTCAGATATAAATTTGAGCAGAACTAAAAAGTTAAAAACGTTCCTATCAACAACAATCTTGAGCTTTATAAGGGGGATCTTACCTCAGATACCCCTTTTTGCTACGGATTTTTTTTTTTTTTTTTTTTTTTTTTTTTTTTTTNTTTTTTTTTTTTTTTTTTTTTTTGTGTGGTCTTTGATATTCTGAAGCTTATATGACATATGTCAGATTAAGAGGATATGACATATGTCAGATTAAGAGGATAAGCAACAACAACAATTCATATCAACAAACAAACCATTCTATTTCTTTTAAAGTTGCTTATTAATTTTCACAAGCTTCGTAATTAAAAAGAGCTATATTTTAGTTTTAATGTTGCTTCATAATAAACATCTCCGAGAGAAATAAGTTTCATAAACTAAAAATGACCAGCTATTCTTTTATTTATTTTCTCTTTATTTTCTTACCATTTCCATTGGTTTTTAGACATTTTACGAATCTGTCTTAGCATAAAAGACGTAAAACTGCTGTATCTCCAAACATTGTAATCTATAATTGGGTATATGGAGAAAATTTATGAATAATTTTTTCAAATTTAATTTTCACGGGGCACTGAGATGCATTTAAATCAAATCGTAATCTTTTCTGAGAAAAAAAAATTATGGTCAAAACTACCAGAATATGGTACAATTTACCGTGCTTCTGGCTCTATGGGAACATTAAAAAGCTAGGTAATTTTTAGTGAAGCGCTTCGGTAATGAATTTAATGAAATTAACATGTATTAGATACATGTATTATATATACATGTATTATATATACATGTATTATATATACATGTATTATATATATATACATGTATTATATATATATATTATTAAGCAGGATTGTTGTTTTTTTTTACCAGAAATGTCATTACCATTACAGCCTTATAATTTTACCAGAACTGTTATATAAAATGAGTAAAATGCGTGCAAATCAAAAGTTTCACAGGCTGTAATGCTACAAATTTTTTGGATTTCAATGTAATTTGAGAATCAGAGTACAAAACTAGAACGAAATACATAAATATCTAACAAGAGAAGAGAAGCGAGCTCGAATTGCTAAGCAATTCGAAAGAAACGCGTGAGCAGTTTCGGAGGGTAAGCTAGTGTAATGAATAGGGGTTTAAACCCCTATTTTAAACATATTTTATGTTCGGATATAATGATTTTGTTGCTCATTATGAAATAATTTTTTCAAATTATAAACACTTAGTACATTCCGTGAATAACTGGTTATCAGCTTCTTCACCTTCTTTGTTAAATTAACAAAAAATGTAAAAACAAATATTATTAAAAAATAATTTCAAAACTTTAATTATCAGACATACTCGACAACTTTTTTCTTGCTTTTAGGATTAAGTTATTTATTATATATTTGGATTACTTGATCTAAAAGTCAAATTGCAAAAGAATTACATATTTAATTACCAATCAAAAATCATTTCAACCATCAATTAAGCTAAAATTATTTTCGGAAATTTTTGTTTTATAATTTTTATTTGAATTTTTTATTTTTTAGAAAATATGTTTTTTTCAGCAAATTTTACTTTTTTCGCAATTTTTTGTTACTTTAATTCAGAATATTTCTTTTAGAAAGAAATTATTATCATGATTTGTTTTCCAACATAAAAACCATTTGTACATATTATTGATGAAAAAAAAATTTTTGAAATCTCCTAGAATTGAATTTATATTTTTTTTTATGTATGAATTACAAATTTATATTTTAAATGTCCTTATTTCTTTATTAATTTGAGATTTTTTTTGAAAATCAGGCAAAATAGTTTATATACTTGACATTTTTTATTTTCTTAAAGATTATGTTTTTATATAAAACTATTAGAGACGCGTTTCCTTCAAGAAATTTTTTTTTATTCGAGATTCTGGTTGCAATATTTTGACCACTAATATTTTCAAATTCTCATTTTTGTTTCACATTTGAATCTATTTTTTCAGACATCAATTTTTCGACGGCATCAAGGTTCGAGGCCTAAAACGTTTCTTTGTGGTGGATCACTCATTAACAGCAAGTACGTTTTGACGGCGGCGCACTGTTTTGTCAATAACTACGTAGTTCTGTAAGTATAACACATATTTCCTTTTTTTAAACCTATTAATTATAATAAAAACTGACTTAAAAAATTTTTTGGCATGACAAACACGCGTCGAAAATGACAGCACACGTGCACTTTTAAGCATTCATTAAATTTAAATTGTCCTAGGGACTACATACAGGAATCAGATATTCACAACAACTGATATGAAAATTAACTATTCACAACTAAGCACAAATACTTAGTACAGAATTGAATGATGATTGTATTAATTAAGGTGAAAGTAAGGCGAAAAAAAATTGGTTGTAAAAACCATTTTCATTTATAGCTGGTATTCGTGAGATCTAAAATAATTTCTCATTATTCTGAATTATAAACTATTCTTCACTGTTTGATTTTCTCGGGTAAAGAAAAAAAGTCATATTTTAATCAGTAACTGTTAAAATAAAATTTTGCGTGTCATAGTTATTTTAATCTTCCCTAAATCAAGCTATAATGAAATTACTTTTTTTTTCTTACCAGTTTTTGCTTACTTCTGTCTTGATATATATATATATATATATAATATATATATAGTCTTTCAGCCCTGGTATGTTTGACTGCAATGCTTCATCAAGATTTTTTTTAAATCTACTTCTTAAATTAATTTAATTATTTTATTTTGTTAAGGGGTTAGTTTTATGCTTTGAGGGGCCAAAAAAAGTTTATTTATTTTCTTTTTTTATTGAAAAATGTATTTCATTATATTTGAATAAAACGATTTTCGAACAATATTTTTATGAATTATTGTTCTATAAAACATCTAAACAATATTTTATCAATTTTTTATCAATAAATTTCAAAAGTTTGTTCCATTGAGAAGTGGTTTTAGGAGAAAACTTTAGGAAAAAAAGCGTCTCTTGAAGTAGATACTATTACAGTTAACTCATTTATTTACCTATCTCGTAGAAATTTCTCGCACTTTGATAAAATTTACCAGACTTTGGGAGAAAAAATTTTAAAAAATTTTTAATTGTTTTCTTCAAACTTGCATGTTAAGAAAAGTTTCTGTTTTTTTAAAGAATTCAAACCATAAAATGCCTTGTAATATAGTAGAGTGCAAAGATAAAATTCTTTGTTCAATATCCCATTAGTTTTAACAGGAAATGGATGAAATGCGCACCATATAATTTTTTTTTAAATGCATGTAAATTTGTCATTTGTTTCATACAAACTGTTTAATAAACTTGTTTCAAAAAGCTATCCCTCTCAGCTAGGATTAATTGTTTAGTAAATAAATATCCAAACTTCTCTTTCTGAAAAGAAATCTACATCCTGTTGGTTCATTTGCTCCTGCCTCGCTCCATTAACAATTTATTGTCCCTTTGTGATACAAAATATGAATCATTTAGTCTATAGGTCAGCCATGTATTCATGTACCATCTGTTAAAGTAAACTGTCCGTTTTGAAGTGACATATGAATAGCTAACATGTCACTGCTTCCGTTTTTATCATAGTCGGAGTACTGTTCGTTATTCGTATAATTGTTGCTTTCCTTTAATAATAAAATTAAGATTGATGGGTTAAAGTTTTTTGCTATAAAAGCATTGATATGAAATATTCTAAGGAATATAGATTTGGTTTGACATTTATTATTCTTGAGGACGATTTTAAATGAGCTATCCCTCATCGTATGCAAAAAAAAAAAATTCTATTGTTGATAAATTTCTAAAAATTATTATTTTCATTACAATATATAATTGTGTATAAAATTACTTATATCTTTGAAAAATGCCCCTATACATATGGTATTTATCTATAGTTTATTTTAACACTTTTTATTTTACTTTTTATTTAAATCAATAAGTGATACTTGACATACATTCCTAAAGTATTCAACTTTTTAGTCATTGGACGTTTTGCTACATTGTCAGGAAAATTCCAAGATTAGACCTTAACCCTTTCGCGCCGACTGTCACAAATACGTGCCAGCATAAAACCGTATCAATCAAGGTAAAAAGATAAAACTGGTAATCAAAGTATTTCTTTAGCAGTTCATTTGTGGGCGGAGTTATAATGTTTGATTTATTTAATTCACCATTACTTTGTTCAAGATAAAACTATTTAGTTGTACTTTGAATTAACATTGATTATATATATGATTAAACTAACAATAATTAAAGTAAAAGCAAAGTAAGTTTGTCAAATTAGCAACGAATACATTTAAGTTACCGTTTTTTATTTAATTACAACTTGATTCTGATTTTGTACGAATGCGTTTTTGAATCACCCGTCCCTAAGGGGTTAAAGTTGCAGTTTATACCATAATTAAAGTAATATCTGTAAAGAGTTAAACTGAACCATGTTTTCTTTTAAATTCAACCATAAAACCGTCTAATCAAGTATCTTGCGAAGTATTTATATATATATGTATATATATATATATATGCATATGTATATATATAATACATATATATACATATATTATATTATACATTTAAGCGAACAAAAAATGTTATAGAAGTCCAGTCAACTTCTATTAATAAAGACATGGCTAAAAATATTAATAACTTGCTTAATAGTAAGAGTAAATATAGAAGAGTTGAAAGGTGATTATTGGAATCCGAGTGTAATCCTATACATCCTAGTTTCATTAGGCAATTAAACTAGTTTCAACAAATTTCTTTTCTCCCTCCTTACTAGTGATTTCGAGAGCAGTTTCGTTTTTTCCTATCTACACTGGTTATCATAAATTAAGGAAAAATCACAAAAATAGCGATAACTCTTTCAAAAGTAAGCCAAACCGTGCAAAATTTGCATATGTTGTCCACTAAGAGTAGCTGAGTAAAATTGCAATATGCAAATTAGTGGCGCTGCACTCGGCTTACGTCATCTGCCTGGAGCATAAAAGTCCAAGTTTGAGAGAAAGCACACAAATTTTACTGTGATTGCGACATTGAAAATCTGAGATAGCCAATTCGTAATAATGACCTCTAGGCATCATTTGCCTGAAGAACTACGATGGAGAGCCATCGGGAGACTAGAGGCAGGGCAGAGTCAATCAGAAGTGGCCAGATGGCTAAATGTGAGTCCATCTGTGGTTCATAGACTTTGGAGGCAATTTCAAACCACAGATTCGGCATCTAGGAGGTTCAGTCAAGGACGGCCAACTGTTACGACCAGTGCCGATGACCGATATTTGACATTAAGTGCACGCAGGAATAGAACCGCTACTCCGACACATCTTAGATCCTCTCTTGCTGCAGCCACCGGAAGGTTGGTGTCAACGTCAACTGTGCGCAGAAGGCTCCACGAAGGTGGTCTGTATGCGAGACGACCAGCCATTTGCGTGCCGCTCACATCACGCCATAGGAGAGACCGTTTGCAGTGGGCCCGACAACATGTCCACTGGACGTCAGATCAATGGAGGCCTGTTCTCTTTACGGATGAGTCCAGGTTTAGTCTAGAAAGTGACAGTAGACGTTATTTGATATGGAGAGAACCTGGGACCCGTTATCATCCATCAAACATCCGTGAAAGAGATGCATACGGAAGAGGCAGTGTCTGTGTTTGGGGAGGCATATCCTTAGGAGGGCGCACATACCTCCATGTCTTTCCAAGGGGAACCGTGAATGCTCAGGTTTATCGAGACAACATCCTTGATGCTTATGTGCGCCCATATGCCGGGGCAATTGGTGATTGCTTCCTGTTACAGGACGATAATGCAAGACCACACAGAGCTCGCATTGTTGATGATTATCTTCAACAGGAAACAATTACTCGCATGGAGTGGCCAGCTCGATCCCCGGACTTGAATCCTATCGAGCACGTTTGGGATGCTCTAGGGAGGCGTGTATCTGCCATCAATCCGCCCCCTCAGACCCTTGCCACGCTTGCAACTGCTTTACAAGAGCAATGGCTCTCACTTCCTATTGAACTGATAGACCGCATAATTGAAAGCATCACACATCGCTGTTTGTGCTGTATTGCTTCTAGAGGCAATCATATTCCATATTAAAGGTACTTTTTCTATTGCAAACCGATACTTCCAATTTGTTTATTTTATACATGTGCTAATTTCTATACTACTATTAATGTCTGATAATTTCTTTTTATGTTGTTTAATACCTTACTATGTGTTGTATATTGTGGGTAAGTTTCATAAAATTCCATGTGTAATTTCTTGAGTTATCGCGATTTTTGTGAATTTTCCTTAATTTATGATAACCAGTGTATATGCATCCGCTAGTATTTATATTTTTGACAAGGATTCTAAAAAATTATATTGAGAACCGTAATTACAAAACACCGTGCATTTTTCCGAAAAAGTATCAAAATATTTTTTTTAGTAAATATTTAGAATAATACGTACGAAGCCTTTATTTTTCTAAGAATAGATGTATCCTACCCCTAAAAATAGGTGTATTTCTAAAGCAGACTTACATAAATTTTCCTTTTTTGGTTTTATCAAATCCGTTTGATTCAAGAGAATAAATCATTTGATCAAAAACGAGCGCTAAAATTTTCAACACCATGATAAAAATGAAACAAAATTTAAGCAATAAATAATTTTATCTTCTGCAGGAAATATTTAAAATTGACTTTTTTAAATTTTACTAACTTCACAAGCTATTGTTGCTAAATAGCCTGAAATACTATACTAATTTTTAAAAAGTTCGATTATTAAAAAATTTGTGTTTCCTTAAAAAATATGTCCCTACACATTTGTGCAATATATTTTAAAACTCATTTTAGCACTCTTTTAAGAAAATGAGAAGGAGATTTCTCGGGTTTCAGCACCCTGAGAAAAAAGTATGGTCAAAATTACCAGAATATGGTAAAATTCACTTCATTTCTAGCTATTTAGGAACACCAAAAATCTCAGTAATTTTTACTGAAATGCTAAGGCAATGGTTTTGAAAAATTATCAATAAAATTTGGTTTTATAGTTTGTTAATTTTATAATGATAAGTAAGAACATGGTATTAAAAAAATTTATTCTGTTAAATGTACTTTACTAAATGTAGGGTAGCAAGAACTATAATTTTGAAAACCAGAATTTCCAGTAAACCGTTATCATATGAATGTAAAAATTACCAAATGAATGGTTTAAATATCGTAAATTTTGGTCTTATTATCCAGAATTATGTTTTTTTATACCAAAGTAAAATTACCATCTAATATGGTAATTTTACCAGCATTTTTTCTCCGTGCATTCACTAAAAGCAAATTTACAAATAACAAACAACTGTCGTGATTGTTTTTTTTTTTTTTTCAATTAACGCATTTTATCAACAAAAAAAAACAGTTTTTTTAAATAATCTTATCGGCACCAAAAAGTAATCGTGTAAAAGCATTAGAAAAAATTCTTCAATTTTACTTTAGCACCTTATATAAATTATATAGGGCAAATCAATATAATATAAGTGAATATAATATAAGTGATGTCCAAAATTTAGTAGAAAATATGGCTTTAACCTTTTTTAATTCAATAAATTAAAATAATTTTTTTCGTTTTAAAATGAAGTGAATAAAAATAATTTTGGTTTAATAAATTTAATGAATAAAATAATTAATGAACTTTTCCAGACCAGCTTCTTCTTTCGTGATACGTCTTGGATCACATTTTTTGGACAGTGGTGAAGAATATACTGTTTCAGATCTGGTGATTCATCATAACCACAGTGGATCAGATTTCTTCAACGATATTGCTCTGGTCAAGATCGCTAGTGAGGTTTACATCACTGACAAGATTGCTCCGATTTGTTTGCCAACACCGGACATGATCTCGGAGGATTTTGTCGATCGAATAGCAACAGTGGCAGGATGGGGAGACACAACATTCCGTATGAACTATTTTTTATTCTTTCTATATCAAAAAACATAACAGAATATAAATTTTGCATCCTGCCAATGTTAAATATAAAGAACTGATAAAAACAAAACAGATATGATGTCGTATGATTTCGTTGATCGAATGGCAACAGTGGCAGGATAGGGCGACAAAGCATTACGTATAAACTATTTTTATTCTTTCTACTTTGAAAAACGTAATAGAATATAAATTTTGTATCCTGCTATGTTAAGTTTGAAACATTGATAAAAACAAAACAGATATGATGTCGTATTATTTTGTTCATCGAATGGCAACAGTGGCAGGATGGGGCGACACAGCAATCCGTATAAACTATTTGCATTCTTTCTATTTTGAAAAATGTAACAGAATATTAAATTTTGTATCCTGACAATGCTAAATAGGAAAAATCGATAATAAAAAAAGCAGATATAAAATCTATGATTTTGTTCATTGAATGACAACAGTAGCAGGATGGTGTTATAGCATTTCGAATGAATTATTTTTATTCTTTCCAGAGCTGAAAACTTAATACAATATGAACTTCTGTATCCTGTCGATGTTAAATTTGGAAAATTAATAGAAACGCTTAAAAAAATTGCATAAATGTTTTATTCTGTGTGGTTTCTCATACACATTTACCATATCTTATCAATGTTAAATTTTAAAAAAATGATAGAAACATTTGAAGAAATTGGCATAAATTTTAAATTCTATATAGTTTTATACAGTTTGGAACTAAGATTTCGAGAAATTAGATGTGGTTAAACTCTTGCGATTTTTACCTACCACTATATAAAACATAATTTTTTTTAAATTAAAAAATAGAAACTAGTTTGAAAAACATTAAACTTCAAATTAGTTGTCCTGAAATATGCATGTACAGTAAATATTGATGATAAAATTTCAAAAAACAAATTTCAATTTTTGAATATTTCTTGAAATAACGGGTCATTAAAGTAGAAAAATATTTTCTTTAAAAATGAAGCTAAATATTAATCATGCATCAACAAATGTAGTGTAATGAAGTATTACATTAAGAACTATTTCCCCTTCATTTTAAGAAATGTCCCCCGTTTCCTTCCTTTCAAATTTTTTTTGAAAACCTATAACCGATGCTCTCAAAATAATTCTAAACATTTTCAATCGCTTACAATGATTTTCAGCATTTTATAGAGAAAACATTATCTACTGATTCACTTGACTTACTCAAAATAGTAAATATTTTGTTCGGCATTTAAATGCGAGGCCTACTCTGATTCGCGTAGCATGAAAAATATTTCGATACATGAAAAGAAAAGTATTCTCACTACAGCCCGTTGATAACCAGGAGGGTCATATAAATTAAGTCTTTAATTCTTTAAATTCTTTAACCAACGGTATAATGGTGACAATGGGGTCAGCATCACGCGTTGATCGCCTTTATTTCACAGACAAACTGGTATCCATCGATCTGAAGCTGAGTGTGACCCAAGACACTGGTAATCAAACCTGAATCCTTCACAATGACAGAACCATTTGAGTTAACAGAGAACCATTACTTCACAATGACTAAACCATTTAGCCATTGCGGCACATTTTTGCTTACTTTACATGATGTTTTAAAACAGCATTCCCTTAATTAAATATAGTAATAGTAATTAACGTATGCCGTTTTGGAAATATAGAAAATTAATTTTCTTCTTCATTTAAACCTTTACGAATATTTTCTCTAAAATTACTCATTCAGAAATCGTTAACCCTTATTTCCGTTTACCCATTATTTGTTATCACTATCTGTTGTCATACAATCCTGTAATTTAGTTATAAATATGATTTTCTTCTTACCTATTTTTACCTATTTGATTTTCTTCTTACCTATTTTTACCTATTTGATTTTCTCCTTACCTATTTGTACTTATTTGATTTTCTCCTTCTTTACTTAAACCTATATTTTTACATTTTTTCCTGAACCAATACATTTTTGTTTTTTAGGTACTGGTAGCTCCAGAGCTTTACAACACGTAACAATACCAATCGTGTCCGGTGACGAATGTTTTGCTGCATATTCGAGGGTCAGAGGAGCTGCTTTTCTAGCTAGGGGAAGTGACCATGTCATCTGCGCTGGGTTAAGAGAAGGTGGAAAAGACGCCTGCTTGGTTAGTGGTTAACATTGATCTTAGTTAAGAATCATGTCACTCAAACCTTCAATGTGGTTGTGTATATATATATATATATATATAAATNTTGCTATATATATATAAGGGTGGTAGATGAAGTCACGAGGATTTAGAATTGTATAGCAACCCAATGTTTTAGAAAAGTCATGGAAAAGTAGTATGACAGGCGTACAGAAAACAAGGATACACTTAACGTCGTAATCTTAGTCGTTGATCGTGTTCCAGAAAACTGGCAAGGGAATGTTCTTTAAATACACCGACAGAACATCCATCCACCGTAAGAAGATGATTGAAGGAGGGGAGAGATTGATTGAAATATGGGTTACGTATAAATAAATTGCGTGGAATTTTTTGAAAATGAAGGGAAAACTTCCACCCAATCAGAACTTTTCAGCACAATAAAGTTCCTTCGAAATGAATTTTTCAAAGGTCAATTGTCGTGTTACGGTGATTGGACAAAACCTACACTTAACTTTGCCACCTTAGATTCATTCTAGACGGATTTACTGTTTTTTTGAATTATGATTCTTTTTTGTCATATTTAGTAGAGTATACGAATATTAAGGTTAGACACATTCGTCGCGTTCAATTTTATTACATTAATTTCAATTACTGTATTTTCATTCAATACATTATAAATAAGTCTCAATTTTGTATGTTTAAAAGGGTTAAAAAAATTTCAGCTTAACGTATATTTATCATATAAGATCAAGAAAGATGATCTTTAAAATAAAAAGTATTTACATGATAAACTTCAGCGCTAACTATGAAGTAAAAATACTATTATGATTTAAGCATTCTATTGAAGCATCTAAAAAGTGAACTTTTTTTCATCAAAAACTGTATTAACTTATTGCTTGGTTCTACAAAATAAGAAAAATTTAAGTTTTCTCGTATACGTAACGTTAGAGTAAGAAAATAATGTCGATGTTATAAAATAAATTTTCGGTAAATGAAATTCAAATATGTGAATTTTATCATTAGATTCAATGTCTATATTATTTATTTAAATAAAAAGTGTTTTTGAAATTTGTCATCCAATTTTAATTAAATCTTTGTTGTACTACAATCTTTTTATACACTCTATAACAAATAAATCGACGCACCAAGAAGCAATCATCCGATTGCTTTGAAATTTCGTATGCATGAATGTTTTGAACAGATATGACTGGAATGATGCCGACTGGGGACGTATAGTCTTTAGCGACGAATCCCGCTTCCAACTGTGTCCTGACGATCATCGAAGACGTGTTTGGAGACGCACAGGGCAGAGGGTAGATCTTGCCTTCACTATTGCGAGCCACACCGGCCCTCAGCAAGGCATTATGGACTGGGGTGCCATTTCCTTTGACAGCCGGACCCCTTTGGTCGTCATTAGAGGTACACTTACTGCACAGCGGTACGTCGACGACATCCTAAGACCTGTTTTACTACCGTTCCTTCTGCAGCGCCCTGGGCGGGGTTTTCAGCAGGGCAATGCCAGACCACATTCGGCACGTGTTGCCATGAACTGTCTGCAAGCTTGTCAAACTCTTCCTTAGCCTGCCAGATCACCAGATCTCTCTCCCATCGAGCATGTCTGGGATATGATGGGAAGGCGATTGCATCTGGCACGGAATGTTGATGACCTAGTTCGACAATTGGATCGAATTTGGCAGGAAATACCGCAAGAGACCAACCGGGAGCTCTATCGGTCTATGGCACGCCGTGTGGCAGCTTGTATCCAGGCTAGAGGCGGATCAACACCTTATTGAACTTGTTACTGTAACTCTACAATAAATTATTCAATTGTTGTGATATTTTAATCATTTACTATTCTGTACATTGTCTGACTATCCACCAATTTTCTTTTCAATGGGACAACTCCTTCTTGGTGCGTCGATTTTTTTGTAATGGAATGTATTTTATTATTTTTAAAAGCATAACATTTAGAAGATGTTAATGTAAGGGTTTAGCAGCTATTATAGATATATATCCATAACTAAATATTCTGAAATCACATTAACTTGCATGTGTTTCATAAGCAGATTTACCTAAAAAATAAAGAAGAATAAGGATAAATTGCCATTAAATTTAAGTAATTTCCCTTTATTTTTGTAAAACTTTCAGTTAAAGCCACGATTTAAATATATTTACTTTACCAAAAATAGTTTTTCAGTTTTCTCTTGAACCCTTAGACACAATGTACCGTTAGGACACAGTTCCAATAGAATATTTAATCAAAATGCTTTGTACTTCAAATTGATTTGTTCGGGTGAAAATCGTTAGAATAGGTTTTTGTTATCGACTTTTTCTTCTTTGGAGAAACTCCTTTTGAAAACATTAATCAGTAAAAATGCACCCTATTGAGATTAGACACGCTATTCTACAAATTCTTCATTTTTTGATTTTGGTACAGCTTTGCAAATTTCTCATTCACCGAATTTTTCAAAAGCATCATTTTAACTTGCTTAAGAAGAATTCATATGATAGCCATTATTTTCTGAAATATAAATAAAGTGCATGATATACCTCAAATTAATTCTGATTTTTTCCCAGCCTTTAGTAGAACGCGATATTGCCTATTTTTTAACTCTTTGACGATTACATGCAAAAATATATTTTGGTATTTTTTACATTTAAAAAAGAGTCTAATAATTACTAAAAAAAATTTGATAGATTAACGGAATTATATCTGAAGAAAAATATAAATTTTGAAAAAGAAATTTTTCATTCAGTTTGAAAAATTTATTAATGATTAATTTTATAAATTAAAGAAATTTCAATAATAAATATAATGCTTTCTATTAGATCTAAATAGTAACTGCAAATAAGTGCAAACTTGTAAAATTATTGTTTGGAATATTATACCTTTAACGCAGTGAAAGACATCGGTGTTTTATGCTATATTTAATAACAATAAATTAATAAATTGCAAAATAAAACATGGACCTAATTGAAAATGACCTAAATTAACGAAAAATAATGTAAGAGGTATGAAAAATACTTTTAATTCTGCGTCAAAGGGCTAAAAGTAAAATGAATGAATAAATATATTTACCATCTTATTAATTTTAGTCTATAATTTTTTATATATAGCTTTAGTTACTGCAACTTACATACATAGTGTTCCTCACCCTGTTAATACATGGTCTTCATTGTCCGTAAAAACTTCCTAATTATATATATATATTTCGAATCTTTGTCAAGAAGGAAGTTAAATACACTCAGTAGGGCTCGAAATTTAAAGTTAAAGTGGGTAAGAAGAAAACGTTTTCGAAATTTACTGAATCACTAGTGAGGAAAGTGGAACTGGAAGCTTCAAAACCGGTTGGATTGCTGGATTTAACGAAGGAGATAGTTGAAAAACAATCCTTAGAAACACCTCTAAATTTCGTCAGCCAAAAAAAAAAAAGACAAAAAAAAANAAAAAAAAAAAAAAAAAAAAAAAAAAAAAAAAAAAAAAAAAAACAGATCTTACGTGTATCTATATCTATATATATCTATATATATATATCTTATATAAGAGAGAGAAGAGAGAGAGATCTATTTGATTTTATGATTTTAAGAAATATTATTAGACATATTTTAATATTTAATTTTTTTTTACTCGCTATGTCAGATATATTCGATGAACAACATTAACGTGGTAGCATTCATGGGTTACATCTCCAAATTAATATTTCAAAATCTGATACCATATGCTTATTTATATATAATCATATATAATTCTTTTCATTATAGTAACTATTTTAAAGTGTGTTTCTCCAAAAGTAAATAGTTTAAAACCAACGGTAATTAAAATGATAAAAATCAATAATGATTTTTTAAAGCAAGATTAATGAAAAAAGTGGTACTGATTCGCTTAGGTGAAACGGAAAAATTAGCCATACTATCATTATCGCCAATGATTCTTAATTAATTTAGGTAATGTATGCATACTGAAATAAGCTAAACAAAATTGATGGAGTAAAGGTACTTATTCATTAAGAAGAGCAGTAAGAAATTACCCCACTATTATTGGTGACAATAATGCTTAATTAATGTTGTTAAATTGAAGTAATAAAAAAAAACTTACTGAAAAGCTAAGCTAATGGAAAAAAGATGCTTATTCATTTTGGGGGTATTATTATTCGCCATATTATTGATATCAATGCTTAGTTAGTATTGGTAATATATATTAATTGAAATTAAAGAAGAAAAAAAAGACACGTGCTGAAAAGCCAAGTTAGTGGAGAAAAGGTTAATGGGAAATGCATTTCATTACGATGGTGCAGTTTTAATAAGAATTCTACAACGGGTTTTCCGTAATTTCAGAAAATATTTTTCCAGTGGCAGCAAAGATACTTTATTGATATTTTAATGAATTAGAATTAAAAGCTTTTTCCTCCCCTACTTATAAGTATTTTAAATAGTAAATACAAGTAAGGTAGAGAAAGCGTCTTGCTCCAAAGTCCCTATCAAGGTCTTCTAAGCATTCTATTTCTTCTTAAAATTTCGACAAAACTCAAAATGATGAAAGGTTTTGCAATGAGCGCCAAATATACCAATATAGCTATTAAGTATTATACTGGTATATTTGGTGATTATTAAAACTGCACCAATACTAATCAGTTTTTATACCCATTCTGTTGCAATAAATGTCTTACGCAAGTGATGCCTAAGTGCAGTTAATCTCTATTCTGATAGGATGGACTACAAAAACCATATTTTGCTTAGTATAATAACGTAAAGTCACAGAGAAAGGCAAAAAATAATTATAAATAAAAGAAAAAGAAATTATTCTAGCTTTATTAATTGATGAGCTTAATGAAAAACTAGGTAAGTGACATTTTCAGAGCTATTTTCAGAGCTAATCTTTTTTCTTCTTACCCTGATAATCGGTGATATAATCAGGGTAAGAAGAAAAAAGTGGTCTCCGAACTATTTTATTACCGATTTATTAGAAGGCGGGACTTATTCTACTTACCACTGTCTTACATAAAAATACTAAATCATACTAAAAACTAATACGCAAGCATACTAAAAACTAATGTGGTTTGGTTATGTTAAGATTAAAATGAAAACGAAAACAATTCTGTCAGATTAAATATACCCCTATTGAAGCAACTCCTTTTTTTATTTATTTATTATTTTTTTATAACGGTCGTTGAACAGCCAACCCAATTTCGGATTTACGACTACTAATGTTCAACTCCGTAGCCTTGTAATTTTAAACCAATCCAGAAGACAAAGAACTTTCTGGATCAGTACCCCCAGAGGTATGATTTGTTATGGGAGCATGGAGGACCTTGTGACACGACGGATTTAACGTGCATCAGTCACCATTTACTACACGGGGATCGAACCCACAACCTATTGGACATGGGCCCAGGGCCCTGCTAACCAGGCTATCCCGGCCCCAAAATTACGATATTGAGTTAATCAAATGCATTTAGAATTAAAAAAGACGCATTGAAGAACATCTAAAAAAAAAATCAAAAATAACAATAAAACAAAAACTGGTGCGCAAGGAACTTTTTGAAGTTCTGAGAACATTGAAAAATTCCATTACTAGAAAAAGCTACTTTGTCAACAAGAACTACATATTGATGTATGGACCTTCCTTTGCAAATTCATAATCTTATAAATCGGTAAGAAAAACTCAGAACCCCTAAGAAACCCTACAAATGTCACTTAACTCGTTCTACAATTGTGTCGGAATATGCCTTACAGTTTTGCGCATGATATCGTATTGTTGTTCAGTACTGATTAATTGATTTTTGATTAACTGATTAATTGATTTAATTGATACGAAGAACAGGTATTAGGCTAGTTTATGATAAAAAATATATATTAAATGTGCAACAGTATACACAGCGTGACATGCATTTTCTCATTAATATTCATTAATTTAATAACTCATGTATTATTTTCTTATGATCCAAACTTCACCCAACGGTATCTGCGAAAATTTTATTCAAACTTTTCTCAACTGGATTATTATGTTTTTTAAAGAAAACTATTTTTTACCATTTCATGCTTTTTTTGTGTCGAAAATAAAATGAAAAAAATTATGTTCCCTTCCAGTTTTTTCATTGATAAGCAAAATTAATTTTCTGCAGGGAATATTTTTTTCATAAAAAGGATTAAAAAACTTTCTACAAGCTATTATGTTGTTTAATATGCAGTTTAAATATAGGTTATACTGTAGTTTATTAAGTAGTTTGAATATAAGTTGTAATGTAGATTAAATGTTGTTTATTATGTAGTTTAAACTACGTGATCACTATAGTATGTCCATTATATATCTATCTACATATATATATATATATATAAAAATATATATANTCGCAATTGCCTTTTATTTTAATATATATATATATATATAATGATTATTTATTATTTCAGGGTGATTCTGGAGGACCTCTAATGTTGAAAACAGTGGATGATCGCTGGATTATTGTAGGTATCGTCTCATTGGGTTACAAATGCGCAGAACCCGGGTACCCAGGAGTGTACACCAGAGTGACGCATTACCTAACCTGGATTCATGCAAACATGAAACCCCATTGAAAATTTGTTTTCATTAATTATGTAAATATTAATATTATGCCAACCTTTTGTCATCTTATTTTACTCACTTCATTTATTTTACTGTTATAAAAGTACAACAATGTAAAATTGTGCTGAAATAATATGTAAAATGTAATAAAATGTAGTAGTGGTTTTAGTGTAATGTAGTTCATCGAATTCGACAAATTCAGACACGAAATTTATCTAAAAATGAATTTAGAATAAACAAAGTGTACAATGACCACTAAAGACAAGATAATACAATCATACTTTACTGTTATAAAAGTACAACTATGTAAAATTGTGCTTTACATAAAATGTAGTAATGGTTGTAATGTAATTTGTAGCTTATTAAATTCGAGAATTCAGACACGAAATTTATCTAAAAATAAATTTAGAATAAACAAAGTGTGTGGTGAAAGGACAAGATAATGTAATCATGCACTGGAATTAATACCGATAAACTTGAAACGTTACAAAACTTCACTGCAAAAAATTTCGGATCAAAAATTACGGTATAAAGTACCGAAACTTTGAGTGTATCATCCGCAAAATGCATTTCTACTGAAAAAATAATTCCGTAATTTTTCAGTAATACTTATTTTATTAGAGTTATTCAATGATTTTACGGTAATTAAGTCGAAAAATTACGGTATATCAGTAAATGCAATAAGTATTTTATATGCAATATGTATATGCACAGTATATCAATATTTGTAGAGCGTAGTAATATGAATTTTGTTCCGTTACATGTTCCTGTGAAAATGAATTTTATTATGAAAGGTAACGGCACCCGGAGTATCTGTACTTTTTACCGTAATTTGACCCTTAATGTTTCAGTGTTCAGTTACCCATATGTTCTATGATAATTAGCTTTGATAACTACATAGAAATAGAAGTTAAAGAACGAATACTATTAACAAACAGGTATTTGAAGCTCCTTAGGTCCTTTCTATAGATCCTTTGAATTTAAAAAAGATAAGCACACATATAAAGATATACTAAACTACTACTGTATAAAACTATTACACGCTCAGCCCTGACTCTTGCAACAGAAATTCGGATTCTTCCAGAGAAGGAAGACGCTAACATTTCCGTCTGTGAAAGAGAAATCTAGCGAAATATTTTTAACTGAGTAAAAGAAGGTATTTGCCACAGAAAAGGAATACACAAAATTTTTTAAGGACATTGATGTTATAAAATTCATAAAATTAAACAGGATGCGAATTGGCAGGCAGAATTGCCACTTAAATATATAACTAGCGCAATACTCAAAATTTTCAAACTCTCAATTGTAGCAGAACTCTAATTGTAACTCAATTGGTAGCAGAGTTAGAGAAACTTCGATAGCTGGATTCCATCAGTATGGATTTTTATTCGCAAGATATATATTTATCTAATAAAATGACTAGCATCTACTGATTACAAATACAAACTACTTAAAACATCACAATATACAGATTGTGACTATTCTTAATACTTATTTTTAGAATCTTCGTCTCAAAAAAAAAAGAATACACATTAGAGGTGGTAGTAAATTAATTTTTAAGTAATAAACTATAGTAGGATTAAGTAAAAGAGAACTATCCAAATCTTTAAAGTCACTATTGAAAAAAGGAGGTGTATGAAGCAAAGCCTGTTTGATTGTCGTACTCTTGCAGATTTTGCTAACGTTTTTTTATTCCTCGCTTCAATATAAAATTGTGACCTTCAATGCGTACACTTTATTGTTTCATTATTGGACAAGGATTGTGAAAATATATATTAAAGTTTTATTATTAAAGTTATAAATATATATCAAGTATACAAAAGAAATTTCGATATTTAAAGTTGATTTTCTCGTAAACTAAGCTCGCAACACATACCTTGCTATTAAAAAAATAGACTTTAGAAGATGCAGCACTGCACAATACTGCTTCATCACATAAATAGAATTTAACCAAAAATATAGATTAAAAATACTTCAAATTTTTTGACTTAGATACTAATAGACAATTGTTTATCGATTTTATCAACATTTTCCCCTGGGAAATTTCTTATTAAACCTTTAATCTAAAAAAAAAAAAAAAACTCGGAGTGGAGTGCTAAGTTAATTTAGACACTGTACAAACTCACGCAAGTTTCACGTTTACTTCTACAAAATGCTTTCCCGCCTACATTCTACGTTTCACTTTAAATACGCACTTTGCTTTTGAAATCAAAAGTGTTATTGGTATTTCGTGATGAATAATATTTTGGTTTCTTTGTGTGGGTTAATTTAGGTGTCTAGTTAACTTTTTTAATCGATATCGGAAAGTAAATAATTATTATTTTACCAAAGTTAAGATAGAGTGTTTTTGCTACAAATAAATAGCTTTTGTATACTCTAAAGAAATTCGCCTTTCTAATGTTGGTTCATGCATTTCATATATACAGCGACAGTTTAGATTTACCAATTATATTTTTTCCTATTCATATTCAAATTCACTCAAAAACTATTAGTAAATTTTTCCAATGAAAGAAGAATAGTTTCGTGCATGATACAAATCATACTTCAGAAAGCTTTTTTGTTTCTTTAAAACTACTAATGGCGTGCTTACACAAGTAAGCTTTCAAGGGTTATTCCAGACTTCATATAAGAAAAGAGCGGTTTTTGGTAAATTGGGAAAAATCTATTCATAATTTTACGAAAATATGGTACTAATTTTGAAAAAAAATAAGAACACTTGTGTATGAAAAAATATAAGAACACTTGTGTGAAAGGTCCGCTTTTCTGATATTGCGAAAAATCTATTCATAAATTCAGGAAAATAGAGCAATGATTTTGTAAAAATATAAAAAAGAAACAGCTGATTCAGACTTCGTGTGAAAGGTCCAACACTAAAAAAAACTAAGTTTGAAGATAAGAAAAATCTAATCATAATTTTATGAAAATAGGGTACTGATTTCGTAAGAAAAAAATAAAAAACAATGACCCGTTCAGAATTTTTAGAAAAATCCGTTTTTGAGAAATTTTAAAAAACCTATTCATAATTTTATGAAAATAGGGTTCTGATTTTGAGAAAAAATGGAAAAAAAAACCAGTGGTCGAGTCAAGTTTTTTGTGAAAGGTCCGTTTTTGTGAAATTATAAAAAGCTACTCTTCATTTTATGAAAATATGTACTTATTTTTTTAAAAATCAAAAAAATAATGGCCGATTCAGCCTTTTTGGTGAAAAATCCGCTTTTGTGAAATTATGATAAATCTATTTATACATAATTTTATGAAAATGTGAAAGAAAATATGGTTCTGTTTTTGTGAAGAAATAATTACGAAAATAATGTCCTTCAAGAAGTTTTAGTTTTAAAATTAAGAATAAAAAACTTCATTAGCTACTTTTTTTCAATAGAAGAGTTTTGTGAAAAGTGAGATTTCGTGATAAACTATTTAGAAAAAGGATTGTTAACGAAACCAAACCTGACTTCGCCGTCCTAGAGGCTTGAGCAGTAAACAGATCATGTAATGTAAGCCCATTCTTGTTCGAAATTAATATTTTTTTTATTTTTAAATCCGATATTAATTAATATATTGGGTGTTCCGTAATGATCATTCTTAATGTATATTTTTAGAGTACTTGTCAAAAGTAAATAAGATACATGCATTAGAGATATCAAATTTGTATTTAAGAGAGGAAAAAAAGAAAATGCTATCAAAATCTAGCTAATCACTACTAAGAAAGGCGTGACTGATAACGTCAAAACATGGCGTGTTACATTTTTATGTTAAGAAATTGAAAAACGTCTTAAAACTCTTAAGTTTAAAAAAATAAAAGAGACAGAGAAGGTTCTAATATAGTTTATTTTATAACCATCTTTGAACAGCCGACCCATTTTTTTCGGGTTTAGGACTACAACTCCGTAGCCTTGTAATTTTGAACTCAATCCAGAAGACCAGGGAACTTCTGGATCAAGTATTGCAAGAAATTTGTGGAGGACTTTTTGATGGAGCTAACCCGCATTTGCGTAAAATGGCGGGGAAAACCTCCCATTGTTAGCCTAACGGCAAGGGGGACTCTAACCCAAAGGTTTTAATATAGTATTTTAACCCCATTTTCCGACGCAGCTACTGATGAGTACACAAAAAACGTTAACACAACGATGGAAAAAAAGCACGCCGAGTGAAAAAGTATGGTCTAAATTACCAGAATGTGGTAAAATTTAGGGTATTAGTGGATCTATAGGAACACCAAAAAGCTCGGTAATTTTTTCCGAAGTGCTATGGTAAAGATTTTGGTACAATTAACAATAAAATACGGTTTTGAATTATGTAATGAAATTTGATAAATGGGGTAAAATTTGCTAATTTCATCATAATAACGAAGAACGAGGCAAGGGAACCATTATTCAGTTAAATTTACTTTTCAGTACTGTATTTTTTACTCAAAGTGTAACTTTGAGTAAAAAATGCTAAACTATGACTTTGTTATAGTTTAGTATTTTAGTAAAAACACTAAACTTTAACTAAAAAATACTTGAACTATAACTTTGAAAACCAGTGTTTCCAGTGAAACGTTACCATATGAACTAAAAATTGCCAACTGAATGGTTTAAATATCATATATTTTGGTTTTATTAACGAAATATACTCTAGAGTTCACTGCAGAAACTGTGGTGAAATATCTGTTCGAATTTGATGTTGAAAAACCAAAAACATTACATAATATTAAATTAATTACTTGAAATAAATTATATAATTGTATCATATTTAAATAATTTATTTCAAGTTAACAACAAAAAGAGCTTTCATGTGCACTTTAAGAAATTTCTGTGAATTTATAAATCGAAATTGGGAGTGTAAAAAACCACTTTTCAACACTTATGGAACACCACTTTGGTGTAAAAACCACTTTACACCAAAGTGGTGTTCCATAAGTGTGTACTACTCCAGGAACAAAGGATAGTTTCAAGCGCAGCGAAACACCTCGAATGTTCTTTAAACCATTGGCGGTTTAGCAAATGGGCAATATAAGGAGAATGTTTCTCCGCAATACATTAGGAGAATTTTGTATTCACATTCAACACCAAGGCCATTTTAAAAATTTAAATGCTCTAATTAATGGAAAAGTGGTTGGCATTTCAATCGACGGTAAATTCTGCTTAGTACTAGCAGAATTTACGAAGCATTTGGCTAGTAGCAATCAAGAAACGATTGAAATTTGCGTTTATATCAAGCACAGTGCTCAAATAGAGAATTTTGTGCTGCGGGTAATCAGAAAGTGATCGGATATTCTATTCCTTAATACCACTCTCACACGAGTACGAAAGAAGATTAATATTAACGCTGAAAAATATTTTAATATCGTCAATTATTTTCTATACTCACTCACATAAAAAATCGAATGAATTTATTAAATTATAGATATATTGTGTCCTGGTTACTATAAGTCTTATCCATTTTATATTTTTTCATGGATTCTTATTAAATCTTTAATAAAAAAAAACTCAGAGTGTAAGCTGTTCATTTGGACACAAAAACTCACGAAAGTCTCACGTTTACTTCTACAAAATGTTGCCACGCCTAATTGCATTTTATTTTAAACACGCACTTTGCTTTTCTTAAATCAAAAGTATTATCGGCATTTCGTGACGAATCGCATTTATGTTTCATTGTGTGAGACGATTTAGTTGCCGATTTAGCTTATTTATTCAATATTGGAAATACAAGTAATTATCTATTCTTCTAAAGCTAAGATAATATTATGTGTTAGATGAAAGTAACTTTTAAATATTGCAAAGAAATATATTTTGATATTAAAAAGCTTTTCAATTGTTGATGCATTTTATCTAAATATTCAATATTTTAAATCAACTGTTTTACATTCCTAATTATGGCTTTTTCATTCGTAATCAACGTTAACATCCTACTATTGTTTTGATAGCCAGTTTTTCAATGGAAGAAAGAAATTTCGTACTTGCTTCAAATAATGCTGCTTTGTTCGCGAACAACGCGTGTTAACTAAAGTTAACTTTGTACGGACTGTTATAAGCTTGAGCAGTGAGCACCATGTTATACAAAAAATTTCATGTTCGGGATTCGTGGGATTTTTCTTAAACCTGAGATTAATATTAATATGCATATTATTCCATTATGACAGTTCTTAGAGTATAGTTTTTGAATTCTGGTCAAAAACGTAGTTAAAATGATATAAACATTAGAGGTCGCAGGTCAATATTTATGCAAGGAAAAACAACAAGCTATGGAAATGTAACAAATAACTATTGAAAAAGGAGAGACGGAAATCATCAAAACATAAAGTATTATATTTTTATGTGAAGCAACAGTAAAACATCTGAAAGGTCAGAACGCTCCAAAGAATACAGTAGACGAAAATAATATAATGAGGTTTAAATATTTTAATACAATATTTAAACCTCATTCCCAGCTGTAAACATTAAAAAATGAACATAAACCTTGACATGAAGGAAAAAAAGAAGTTTTTATACGCTAATTGTTGTGCAAGCATAATTGTACTTGCTCACAATCAGGCATTAATCCATCATGTTTCTTTCAATATTTTATACCTTAATATAGTAAGTCCCAAATTTTTTCAGTCGAAGAATCCTAAATGATCAACCCTTTTTTGGTGAAACGGCTACACTAGTTTATTAAATATATTGGGCAAAAAAAACAATATCACAAACCATCGTTGTGCAACAATTCAACATAACTCACGGATCTACAAATCGGGTTGTTCAACAATTTAGAAACAGCTTTCTTTAGCATATCGTTTCCCAAGGCAACTAGACCAGACGTCCTCTAATCCTGAAGACAGTGCTCAAATTTTCTTGATTGTATTTAAAAACAGTTTCAAACTCATTAAGGACAGAAAATATCCCCAAATTTTAACATATGTCTCAAATGTCAATGATTTTTTTCGAAAGCACATAATCTTTCATTTTATATGCTGTGAAATATAAAAATACGCGTTTTTTTTAAATAAATAAAAGTGAAAGATAATCCATACAGAGAATATAAACGAAAAATAAAAAGGAACCATGCTAAAACTGATAGATAAAAGCACCAGATTTTAAATGATATCAGCAAAAAGTAAACAAATTTTAACTATCATGTTACACATACATTTTATTTGTATTCAAATGCAGAATATTATATGATATTTCAAAACTGCTTAGTAATGAAATCAATGCTCAGTGCCTGAAATTAGTAATAAATTTTAAAAAAATCTTTATTGAACTTACAAATTAATATTTTCCATAAATATTTGGGTATCCTTAAATGGTAAAATTTCTCGAAGACGCTTCGACGAAAAGAAGTGGACATTAAGCTAGAGATATCCGAGCAACGCTAACATTAGATCTAGATCAGTTAATCTGAATTTCTTTCAAAGATCAGACTTTCAATATGTAGTAGACATGAAAAAAAGAAACTTTATCGATGCAGTAGGCCAAAGGCTCCATTGAAAATATTTCTACATAGTTGAAAATATAATATAAAAACCACATCAAAAAACTGGATGATAGGTTGGGTAGAAAGATGGTGGAACTCGATGTGCAACCATCTTCACGTGGTGAGTTTTGGGTTGTTCTGATTTAGCACAATAAACAAATGAAAATTAGGAAAAATGGGTAAACTTGTGTTTTTTTATTTTTTGCGAAAGCAAAAAAAATTTTTCCACGAAAGCACACCCTTTTTTTTCATCAAATTCACAAAAACGCAACCCTAGCAGAAAATGTTTGAACAGGCAAATTTTTGTGATTTTCTCAAAATGCAAAAGCAGGACGGGGGCCTTATTTACAAATTCAAAAACTTATGTGCAGATTTTTCAAAATTTCACAAAAATGTGGAATTATGCTTGGATGCATAAAGAACACAATTCAGTTTTTAATTGGAAGATTGCCACTAGTTAAGCTGGCACAGAGTTTATCAAACAACTTCGTACCAAATTCGAATATTATTATTATTATTAAAATAATATATTACTTTGAATAATAATGTAGTATGAAGCAAAAATTGTAATCATATTCATGCGATATATTTTAATGATCAAAATACAATGAAAATATGAAAACGTTTGCAAAAAATGTCATCAATAAATCACATCATTGCGATATAAATACCTTGAAAGAATAACATTTTTATGTGGCTATACCCACTTCAACTTTGTTTCTAAATAAATATATTATACAAAAGAAATGAAAAATATACTGTACACATATGGCAATTATCTAATAAAATGATAATAAGGAACAAAAACATATCAGTAAGAAATGATATCTGAATGAAAACTTATATCATCATCGATTACAATTCTATGTAGTTTGCATAACTTATTTCAAATTTTATTCTAAACAATGAATGATAATAATGAAATAAAATTTCCTTCATATTGAAATGATGTAACACGATAAAAATATATAAGCTGCATACAAAAAATATGAATAATAAGTAATAAAACGTTTATATTTATACCATGAATCAATAAAACTTTTATGTGGTTTGGCTGAAACTACTTTAACATTAATTTTGAATAGATATTTAATATATACATTATAAAATATTTACATTCATTAAGTAAAAATTGCGTGCATTCTGAAATGATATAATATAATGAAAGAATTGTTAACGAAAAAAAGATCGTAACACTGGGAAATTAATACCATCAAACAATAATCATTTTATGTGGTTTTACACAATTCTACTTTAATAATTCTGACTATAGGGATTACTTTAATGAAATAAAATCTATATGGATATTGAAAATATTGCAATACAATAAAGTATGAAAATGTTTAAAAAAATTCATCAATAAATCATATCAGTAGGACACTTAAACCATCGAACTAAAAACATTAAACACTTCAAATTTAACTCTGAATGAAGATATTTTTTAATTAAGGAAATTTTATGCGTGCCTATGAAAAATAAGACAATAACACTTATATGTTTTTTTTAAGAACCAATTATTAAATTACACCCAAATTTTTTTACACCCAACTCAACCTTAGCTCGGACTAAAAAGAAATTTCAATTCAGAACAACAATCCTATCTACTCTAATGAAATAAAAGTTGTATTCATGCTGAAATGATAGAACACAGTGAAAATATAAAAGCTATTTTTTAAAAAATAATAAATGTGACGCCATGAATGTTTATACCACCAATCAATAACACTTTTATGTGGTTTGACTTAACCCACTTCAATACTTTAATTCTAAATAGATATTAACTTAATGATATTTAAAAAAAATTTATACATATTGAAATAATGTAACACAGTGCAAATATAAAAACTGTTTGCAAAAAATAAAATCAATAATAAATAATATCACATGGATACTTATACCACCAATCAACAACGCTATTATGTGGCTTGACTTGACCCACTACATTTGTGTTTAACTTTTCACACAAACCACAGAGCCACTTGTAAGCACCATCCTGTATGAAATATTTTCTTCGCCACTGAAAATAAGACAAAAATTTTGCATCATTCACTGTAAGCTCCAGTAAATAGTTGGCCAGGTCTTTTGGACTAGAATAATCTCTAACATCGATAAAAGAATGAGGCGGTAAGTGTTCTGCGTAGTTATCGCCACCAAGGACGACTGGTACCATGCCTGACATCAGGGCATAGTAGAGTTTCTCTGTACTGTAATCTTTGCAAACGGAATTTTCGAATGAAAGATAAAATCTGCAGCGGTGAGACAGCCATTTGTAGCAATCTATAGTTTTTTCATAAGGACATGAGTATTTGCCGCACCTTCCGTACACCTCTACAGAAATCGAGTTATTCAAATCATCCACGTATTTTTCTCTGTTACTGGGTGCTTGGCAGTTACTTACAAGCCAGCAGACACTGCTACGATTTAAGCTAATTTCTACAACGGAGAAAAATAATTATATTAAAATATTTGCATTAAAAATAGTTTAAATATTGTTTGTATTAATAGTAATAATAATTTGTATTATAATTTGAAATATTTGCATTGAAAATATTTTAAACAACGTATAAGCTTAATTACTCCGTACTACCCGACAATAATCCTATTTGAAGACATTGGAACAATATAATTATAAGTCACATTTTCAAATTATTTTGGAGAAGATTTTTGGTGAAAAACACCACTATCACCACTATATTTTCTCAGGTTTTTCAATTTCAGTTCATGGTTTTACACAAAATATTGCCTATAACTTGAAAAATATCTTCTATTTCTATTTCACTTGCAAACTTTTAAAAAATCTTGATTAATCAAAAAAAAAAAATTAATATCTCATCTGTTTTTAAACCATTTCTGTTTCACACTTTCCCCTTTGAAATAACCATCAGGGAATACTATTATTCACTTGTTTTAATATTTCGTTCTTGTACTGATGCTTTACTTGCTTGTTCTAACATTTCATTCTTGTTCTGATATTTTATTCGCTTGTTCTAACATTTCATTCTTGTTCTGATATTTCACTCACTTGTTCTAATATTTCATTCGCTTGTTCTGATTCAAGCTACATTATTAATTGATGATCTGACTTAAATTTTTATCATACTGAATTCTGAGTCTTGAAAAACTGACAGCTAAGAGTACAGATAAATTAAAACTTTTCACTTCGAAAAAAAATTTCTACAAAATTAGTCAGTTCTCAAGGAAGTTCATTTAGTTTTAGTTTCCATTTAAGTTCTATTCTGTAAGAAAGTCATAGGACATTCCCTTTTAACATTTTGTTTTAGCCTCAGACAATTTACATAATTCTCATTTTTATTTTTTCGTTTTCAAAATATAAATATCTAAAATTAAAAGAATTATAGAATTTTTCATTTAACTCGTTTAATAAACTTGAGCTTTTTATTATAATTTTGAATAAGAATGTCGGGGAATATTTTAAATAACATTATTTACTTAGTATGTACACAAATATGCTACCCATTTGCACTAAGTATGTAAACATATTAAAATACCATAAGTGCAAAAATTCTATTATTTAATAGATGTTAGTATCAATGAATATATTCCAACACTTCATGAATTATACTTGATGAATAATGCACGATATGAATTGTAAAAATTAGAAATACAGATGCATGCATGTTGTATATATATTATGTATGATTATAAATATCTATTATAAGAAGAATTATGGTATTTTTCATTTAATTTGCATAATGAATTTAAACATTTGTTGTAATTTTCAATAAGGTTATCGGGGAATTTTAAAAAAAAACATTATTTGCTTCGTGCGTGCAAACACAAATATGTTTAACATGTGCAATTTAGTATATAAACACACTAATTCACCATAAGTGCAAAAAATCTATAATTTAATAAATGTTAGTATAAATGAATATATTCCAGCTCTTGAGTCATAATGCGTGATGTGAATTGTAAAAATTAGGAATACAGATGCATGCGTATTGTGTATTTAGATTTGTTAATCAATATTATTAGAACTAAGTGAAACAATCAATAATAGCCCTGCATCCATCGAAAACATGTAAAAAATTCCTTTCCAAACAATGAGGTGGGAAATTTTAGCAGATGCTGTCCCAGTTTCCAACACTTATCAAAAATATTTGTCACTTTCCAAGTATTTCAATAGGTCTTAATTGTTAATCGTGTCTAAGTATTTATTGCAAGATATTCAGGTTGCCCCAACACCGTGTGCAAATAAGAATATTTTGTTGAAACAATAGTTTCTATTAATATTATTAATTGGTTTAAAAAGAAACTTTAACAGACATTTTTAAAATAAAAATATTTTGTTTAAACTTAGAACCATCAGAAGTGCAAAAAATCAGAATAATTAAAGAAATAACTTACATTGCTATATAAATAATACTTTACAAAACCAAATTCTCTCGATTAAAAATTTTTATTCGCTTCAAAAATATATAAATTGGAAACAACAATCTGTACTAGCACTCAAAAATACGCCCCCTATTTAAGATGTTATTGAGAAAAAACAAAATTGATTCGAAATATAGAATGGAAAGTTGCCAATTTAAAATAGAAAATAAATGTAAGAAACAAAATTAGAAAAACCTCACCAGCCAAGAAATAATTCTTAGAAATATTACATTTGTTCTAGAGATGATTGAATTATCTTAATTCTAAATCTGCATGTTTTAAATGTACATTCTGAAGAGCTGTGAAATTTCCAATCTTCAAGCAAAATCCTTCCACTTAAAGTGTAAAAAGCTATTCTTTTTTTCATAAATATAAATGTTACAAATTTAAAAAACGAGAGAGAATTTGAATGAGGTTTAATTTTAGAGAATCTGAAAAAGAAACGGAGATATAAATACATCATCATAGCATAAATAAATTACTATGCAGATGGGGGGGGAGGAATATTACTACACTGTCAAAAGTTTTGAAGCTTGTGGCATCATGATATAGTACAAATTTGCAACACATTTAATATTGTAAGTTGAATCGTATTATGGTGCTCCTTAAACTTGATTACAAGATTCCATGGTTCCACTAGAATGGAAACATGGTTTAGTTTAATAATTTCGCACTACATTCGAAAATTTTACATTAACACTGAACTGAGAATGCAAAAGGAACTGGCATAAAAGAACATAAATACATCTACTCAAACCTACCTGGCATTTCTGCCACTTTGGTACGAGAAATGACTTTACCATAAGGCGCTTTTATGTCAGAATCTTTTCTATAAGTAGCTGTCCAGTGAATTTTGTCATCTAGTTTCCAAAGGGCATCCGCTGATGTATGAGGAGGAGCTTCTTTGTTGAAAAGTACCAGAAAAGGACAGCTTGAAGTCTGCTCATTTGAGAAGGGACAAACTGGAAGATCGTCTGGCTTTATATTCCTCCAGTGCAGGACTACTGCGCTACTATGATTTAGGTGAATGCGATCCGAAGTTACATTACAATTGTCAACAGGGCACTGAAGCTCTTTGGTTGATGGTAGCCAATTTTGTTTGCCGAAATAAGACGTCCACAGCAAGATTAAGTGATGCTTCCTGTAGAGTTTTAAATAAATGTGTGTAGCAATAATCATTAAATTAATACAGTAGAACACCGAAGCCGATCGGGATAATGCAAAATTCGGATAATTGGACAGCTTTAAAAAACGGTTATGAGAATGTTTTTAAGTAACTTCCCTTCACACATTTTTCTAAGACTTAGAATTGATAATTGTAGTAGTACCTGTTATAGCATATTATGAATAACGTGTTTAAAAGTTTAAATTTTTTTTTTTTTCAATTTCATTAGAAGCCTCCTCCCATATTAGAAATTGATATAACCGACATAACCGGAAAAAAATCTGAGGTTCTTTTTCAAGGGCACCGATGGTCAAAAGAAGCCATTTTTACACCCCTTAGATGCATTCTTAAAACAAAGTAGCCTTTTCGGAATCGAGAAGATGTGGAAAAACACATTATCCTTGGAACATCTGGTTTATCGGCAAGCCGGCAAGTCGGCTTTTGGTTAATCGGTGCTCTACAGTATAAAAAATAAGGTCATAGATTAGTAATATAAAATAAATTCACTTTTATTTTTACTATTCGTTGAGCATTCGTCTTCGAAGCTGTTAAGATATAAACGCCTAAAACTAAAACATATTTAAAAATTTGTTACATGCTTTTAATAAAGCATCTAGTTAGATTATGTTGAATGTGAAAATAATTGTCAAACAAGTAATTTGACTTAGTCTTCATTTTGAGTGGAAAAATCATTTATCTTGGCACACTCTTAAAAATAAAATTCATATTGGCGATGATTCAACAATCCTTCAGCTGTATTTCGTTGCTTTTAGCTATCATTTTATGAAGAAACCACGTGATTTTTGAATGAGACACTAACTATCAAATGTTAAATAAAACTACTCCTCACTCTCTTAAAATGAAACAGTTATTTCCCCTACTCAAAATAGAGTTAAATTTTTTTAACTCAGCTTGAGTGAAACACATTCTTATTTGAGCGAAATTCTTACCTTGCGTTTACTCAAACTTGAGTGGTATTTTTTAAGCAATATTTGAGTGCTTTTAGCTCAAACTTGAGTGATTTATTTAATATTTAATTGCTTGGGAAATATAAGCTGGAATTTCTATCGCTTTATTTTAAAAAGCAAACAATAATAAATCTAAATAAAATTGTTATGATCTGTGATCTAAATAGATTATGTCTTCGTTTTTATTTTACGTTTAATTTTTTTTCTGGAGAATATGTCATTTAATATTTTGAATTAAGAAGAATTAAAACAACTTTTAGTTCACAGCGGTATTTCTGAAGAAGACGCTGTTTTACTTTTCAGTAAGTAGATATACTTTGTTGTTTTTATTTTGAAAATACTTTTATTTTGAATGTGTTATATACACATTCCATTTAAATTAGCTGTTTTTCAGCGTTTTTTAATAAAATATACTATTCTTTTAAATTATTTGTCAAAAAAATTTATTAAAATTGAAAGTGTTAAATGTGGATGATTATGAAATATTAAAAAAATTTGATTCCCTGCTAGAATCTTTGTCAAAGCATGTGGGAATATATTATATCTGATAAGAGTTTTAGAATTTTTTCAGATTTCATATTAAAGTTTTAACATTTTATTTTAATATAATAAATTTATATCCATGTTTTAGTTTTTTTGATGTATAATTTTGGTACAAAACATTTCTGGATAATTAATTTCATATCATTCTATACTTCTTTTATAAAGGATATTTACGAAATTATTGTTCATACAGTCCATAATTGCTGTTATTTAAATTGCTTTCTATTAATAAAGTTGACTGTCTTTAATTTATGAAAGTTCACGTCTGCAACATCCATTCATTCAAATCAGAATCTTCAGATGTTCAATGTATTTTATTATAAATATATCATTCAAAGAAAAAGTGGAAAATATTATATTTAAAAAAATTAAGCAGCATTTTGAATTTTTCTGTTTTTATCCTGTTTTTAGCTTTTATTTAATTGGAATTCAGAATCAATACTATCTTCTTATTTCATAAAGTATTTATCACATTATACAAACTATTTTTCCTTTGTTGCTAGCATAAAAGTTCTTACCACTTTTCTTCAAATTCAATTTTCGAGGCAAAATTGAAAATGCAGAATTAATATTTAATTAAAAGTACAATGCTAATTAAAGTATTTGAAAATGCAAATAAATTAGAATTTTACAATAGTTATAGATTAATAGTAAAAAAATAGGAGCAAAATTAAAAGTAATATTTATTATGAGATATAGTTCAATTTGAATTTATATACCTATATCCCAGCTGAAAATAAACTGTAGTTATTCTACAGAACTGAAGTAATTTCGTAGTTTTTCTAGAGTTAACTGCAAATTTTCTGTAGTGCAATCTTAACTGTAAAAACACTGCAGTTATTTTGCAGCTAATGCGAAGTAATTTCTCAGTAATTTATTTCGAAAAAATTTTAGCTATTGTCTACAAAATTACTGTAGTTTAAGTGAGGTCACTTTAAAATCATAAATTTAGAAAAAACTGAAATTTTAAATCCGTGGTCATTCTGCAGTAAATTTGAAGTAATTATGCAGTCATTGTTTCAGAAGTATACTTTCTGATGAATCTGCAGAAAAACTGCAGTTACTTTGCATTGTTGTAAAATTGAAAGAGTTTGATGTCTTCAATCTTGCTTTCCTGGCTGGTATATTAAATTTTTATAATGTTTTTTCTTTTTGATTATATATTAATTTCTTACAATTAGGTAAAAATTCTAAACATATATATTGATAACGGAAATAACGTACACTATCTATATTCATAATAGTTAAAATTCATAAAATACATACTTGATTTAATTGTAATTATTTATAATTCAGAAGCGATACAATTTAATTAGTTTAAAATATGCCTAAAATTAGGTATTTAAATATTTCTGTATTTTAGTAATTTTATTAAAAATGTCGTTTTCATTAATTTTTATTATTTATTTCTTTTTGACTTAAGAAAACTATGTTTGAGCAAAGTTTATGGTAAAAACAATATTAAAGTAAAGTCAAGTAGTTAATGTTAATTAGTTAATTTTTTTATTCGAATTCATACTAAGCTAGGATTATTGCAGAACAAAAATTATACTTATTTTTTTCTAATCAAAACAAATATATAGTTTGGATTTTAAACAAATTTATATCAAAAGAGTTTGCAAAATTGAGTTTGAAAAAGGGTATTTAATCCAGATTTTTTAGCTTTTAACGTCCTCTTCAAAAATTTATTAATTTCACTTAGTTTCAGAAATTTGTCTTAAAAAAATTTAGGCAATTTAAAACAATATACCTTTTTTATTGCTTGAAAATAAAGCTTTATAAATTAAACGAATAAATTTGTTCGAAAAAAAATGACTCATAGTATTTTCAATTGAACCTAAATGAGCATAATATTTATAAAACTGCTTACTTTAAAAATTCGTTTAGAGCTCCTTACTTTTAAAAATTAAACTTCAAAGAAAAATGACGTAACTTAGGGGAAAGAAAAAAAAACTCAAATCTACAGTGGTTAGGAATTTTTCATAAAAAAAACCTCTTAAGTAATAATTCATTTAATTGTTGTTTTACCGTATACAATCAAAATAATTGGATAACCACAAAATGCTGCTATTCAAACTGTTAACTCTGAAAAATTTTTTTAACTGTGTTTTCACCTTATTTGATTTAACAAATAAAAACTTTATCCTCGCCAACAAGACCCAGCTCATGAAACTAATTAGTTCTTTGTAGCCGTCTTGTCACAGGACTGCAGCCGAGATGGTTAATCGGTCAATCTCACGACAGACGGGAAGCCAGTTCGAATCCCAGCCAGTGTCGATATGCTCACAGCGAAAACTTTCACAAGTACTATACTATCTAATTCGATATTTAAATTCAACAAAAATTATGATTAAAAAGAATTCCTGTCTAAGGCTTTCCACTCAAAAGGAAATTTTTTAAACAAAACTGTAATATTTTCTATCGCTTACGATAGATGGCACCACTAAAAACAAACATTTTGTATATTAATAATAAAAATTTTGACTGCAATTTACAAACTGAAATACAGAAAATCACTCAAAAACGAGTTAAAATCACTCAAGTTTGAGTGAAAACGATCCACTCAGGTAATACTGAAAATCACTCAAGCTCGAGTGAAAATAACTCAAGTTTGAGTGAAATTTTTTCACTCAAATTGAGCTATTTCCATATAACTCTTTCACTTGAGTGATTTTAACTCAAGATGAGAAGGCCGGTTTTTTCTAGATGAAAGAGTTAAATAGCACTCAAGTTGAGTTATTTTCAGTCGTTCATTTTAAGAGAGCACTCATATGTTATTTAAGTGCATTTTAGGATTGCTCCAAAAAGTCTCCGTATGACGTTATGGTACAAGAGTGATGCGCTTGATTGTCAAGTAGATGTGTCTGGTTCGAATCCTGATCGTGTCTGAGAACTAATTCGTTCACACTCTTTCTCATTTTAAGTTCATAATCTAATGTATTTCTTCTTTTTTTACGGATTCAGATTCTTAACCTTAGAATATGAGTCAGCCTAGAAAATATGCTCTTGCAAAAACTGAAACTAACAATAAGAGACTCAGAATTCCGACTGCTCTCCGACCAAAACTATTGAGACTATACTTTCAGATTGTGGCTACCCTCTATATTTGAGGGACAAAAATCTGTCAGAAGAAAAATTAACATTCTTTCAAAGAAATTACATTGTTGTTGTTGACTTATTCCTCTTGGTCAGACGCAGACTAGACCAAGTCAATGAGCTCGAAAGTCTTCAGGAAATCAAATACAAGTAAGGGTCCAGAGTAGAGATCTTTCTTCTCCAGACCAAGACAGTGTAAAACGTGATCGGGAGAAGCCTGTGCAGAGTTACACCTCGTGCACGTAAGAAATTACGTTTTTATGGCAGATTTAACTTAAATTATCGTCTGCACTACTTGATTATGATATTTAAGTTGAGCCCTCAATCTCGAATTATCAATATTGAGTCCATAAAAGTGAAAATCTAATTATTAGATCAAAAAAATCTTTCGCTTTTTTTGTGGACAGAATTACACCATAAAAAATGTCGGATCAAATTACGATAAAAAGTACAAGCACTCAGGGTGCAGGCACTTTTTACCGCAAAATACATTTTTACCGGAACATGTTATGGAACAAAAAATCTGTAATACCGTAATTTTAACAGTAAGAATTAGCACAAAATTACAGAAGAACTATAATTAGAGAAGTATTACTTTAAAAATTACAATATAATATTTCATGGTAAAAATGGATTTTACGAATAATGCACCCAAAGTACCGGTACTTTATACTGTAATTTGAACCTGAATCTTACCGAGTAGCTCTTATTAGAGATACTATTATTATAACCTTGCTAAGTAATTTAGAGCATTAAAGTATCATAAATACATCGAAGCATTAAGTATTATAAAGACATACACAAGAATAAAATGACATAATACAAATTATGAATTTGAGTTAATTTATAAGCTTCACATAAACCATTTTTTGATGAAATGTTATTTTACAAAATTATCGAAAACAAAATTTTTTCCCTCACCTGTCCGTAAGTAATTGACGTTTTGAGGACAGAGGCAGTGGATTCAAAACAAGTTGCTTGATATTGATTGAAGTCTGTATCAATTTGTCCGGCAAGATGAACACGCAAAGAGCAACAAACACAAACAAGAAAACTATACTGAGTTTAAGGATGTAAGTTCGGCGGCTGTTCCGACGTGTAAATATTTTTATCCCACCGTTGTCATCCACCAGATTCTGAAAAAATTAAAATAAAGTTAATTTAATACTGGTATTGAAAAAAAATGTTTATTTCTTAAATGCCAGACCTACAGGATACATCAAATCCTTATTTTTGCAAAATAAAAATTGAAGAACAAAAAAAAGAAAAGCTTTAAACTGATTAACATGAATGAGTCTCGCTTCATTAAGTATTAGTAATACTTACATTAAAGCAAGCAATAAAATATGCAAAATTTTTATTTCCATAGGGATTTTTTCTTTTCGGAAACTCACTCAAATTTAGGGAATTTACTAAACTGTTGAAAAAACAGGAAAATTTTTATTAAATCAGTAGACCAGGAGAAATTGGCAAAATCCTGTATACTACTGGTAAATACAATAGAGTCGGCAGCCATATACATTCTATAACAAAAAAATCCGATTGAAACGAAAATTGGTGGATAGGAAGACAATGTACAGAATAGTAAATGATTAAAATTTCAGAACAATTGAATAATTTATTGCAGAGTTACAGTAACAAGTTCATTAAGGTGTTGGCCCGCCTCTAGCCTGGATACAAGCTGCCACACGGCATGGCATAGACCGATAATGCTCCCGGATGGTCTCTTGCGGTATTTCCTGCCAAATTCAATCCAATTGTCGAACGAGGTCATCAACATTCCGTGCCAGATGCAATCGCCTTCCCATCATATTCCAGACATGCTCGATGGGAGAGAGATCTGGTGATCTGGCAGGCCAAGGAAGAGTTTGACAAGCTTGCAGACAGTTTATAGCAACACGTGCCGTATGTGGTCTGGCATTGTATTGCTGAAAAACCAGCCCAGGGTGCTGCAAAAGGAACGGTAGCAAAACAGGTCTTAGGATGTCGTCGACGTACCGCTGTGCAGTAAGTGTACCTCTAATGACGACCAAAGGGGTCCGGATGTCAAAGGAAATGGCACCCCAGACCATAATGCCTTGTTGAGGGCCGGTGTGGCTCTCAATAGTGAAGGCAAGATCCCCCCTTTGCCCTGTGCGTCTCCAAACACGTCTTCGATGATCGGCAGGACACAGTTGGAAGCGGGATTCGTCGCTAAAGACTATACGTCCCCAGTCGGCATCATTCCAGCCATATCTGTTCAAAACATTCATGCATACGAAATTTCAAAGCAATCGGATGATTGCTTCTTGGTGCGTCGATTTATTTGTTATAGAGTGTATATAATTATAAAGAGAGAGATTATAATAACCTGATAAACTTATAAAATCATGAGAAGCCATTGCACAATTTCATTAAAAGGATCTTTCTCAAAAGACAGCATCAAACAACTCCTATTTGAAATTATTCACAAAATTAAGAGTAGCTTTTTCACAAAGATCGACCTTTCATGAAAAAAAAAATCTTGAATAACCCTTAATTAAGGGTTCTAAATTAATATTTTAGTGAGGTAAGAGACAAATATTATCCTACACCTGATGGGTCATCTTCAAGATCAATAATATCAAAGGAGAAAAAAAATTAGACTACTTCTTAAGCTCCAAAAATTATTCCATTAATTCGGATTTCTAATGCACAGTAGTTTATCTATTGTCTTTTTATATTTGTCTATTTCAATAAGCAAAAAAAAATAACTGATAATACTCTGAAATTAAGCAAGTGACTCTTCTTCCCGTATTTATTCCAATGATACTTTTCCGAAAATCGCTTTCGGTTTATTATTGCTCAATTCATTTATTTATTATAAACTCATTTTCATGATGTATTTTTGTATGCCTCATGACCTAAATAAAGCATTAATGGTTTCATTTTCTAAACTACTTTCACATTTTTATTAAGGTTGACAAGAGTTTGGACATAAAGGTAAAAGCCACGGTAAACGTTTTTAAGCAGAATTAAAAAGAAAAGAAAAGAAGAAATAAAAACGGAATTTTTTTTCCGAGAAAGAAAACAAAAATACCAGTTATTTTTGCTCAAACCAAGTTTTTTTTTTTTTGGTTCAAACTGGTTTTTTTATTTTTTATAAACAATATGACTGAGGATATTTTTTAGACCATTAATTGAAATTAAATAAACCATTCCTAAGTGTTTCATATTATTTAACTATTCCGTATAGCTATTAATTAATGTTTTCAATAAACAACTTAAAAATATCCTCTTATATCCTCTTTTGTTTCTTAAATATGCCAGCTTAATAAGCACAAAAGAAGGGGAACTGAATACTTTAAATATGCTTTTATATTAGTTTGCCATTCCACTTAACACGCTGATTAAACACTCAAAATGTAAAATTTATTTTTTTAATATATGTTAAAAAATAATTCCACACCCCACCTTGTTTGTAATATAAAAATTTTATACTTCAGTATAATTTAATTAATATCATTATTTAACTGTATACAATTTATAATATTAGTATTAATTAAGTTCTATGAAAGATACATTTTCTTGTTTTATTTCAATCCATTGATTTCTTTCATTTCATTTTTCTTTATTCCGAACGTTAAAATTTGTATCAACACAAATTTTATATATATATATTTAAGGTATCGTAGATATATTTTGTATTAATAATAATTGAAAATTACTTGAAAATAATGGAATGATGAAAAGATGCAAAATTTGCATGGGTTGCATATAAAATAGTATAAATAACTTTTAGTACTAAGTAACTTTTAGTACTATAAGTAACTTTTAGTACTATAAGTAACTTTTAGTACTATAAGTAACTTTTTGGTACTAATAAATAAAATACAAAGTACTTTCTTTTATAAATTTTAACATACTTCAGCTTTAAGTTTAATAATAAAGGAGTTCGCAGCTGTGTTCTGAAATTTCTAATTCTCCTTTTCAAAAATATTTTGTTCTTATTTGTTCATCATTTTCAGCTTTTTGTCCAAATATTTCTGATTTGTGTGTGTGTGCAGAATATATTTTCCACAAATACTAATACAGTTTTGTTTTGTTTTTTTTGCAGATTCGGGAATTTTATCAATTATCTTTTTATTTTAATTAATAGTTCACACAGAAAATTATTTCTAAGCACAAATGTTAAGACGCATCTTTACTGTGTTTTTGTTTCGAAATTATTGAAACTACAATTTTAAATATTCGATTGAAAAAGTCATAAACTCGATTGCAAATTTGAAATAAATTTTGGAATGCCAACTAATTGATACTAAATATTTTCTAATGCAACAGTACTATTCAAATTTCCATAATATTGATTTCAAACTGTTACGAGCTGCTCAGAGCTCCATTAATAGAATTCTTCAGGAAAAACTGAAAAAACCTTTTTTTTTTCAGAATAAAGTAACTTTGGAACTAAAAATGAAATTTTATTATTATTGTTATTATTTTTGCGATTTGTCATTAAGTTAAGAAAATTATACTTTTTTTAAATTATACTATTTTTTGTTGTTTGGCTTTATAAAAGTAGAGTGGTACATATATACTGTACCAAAAAATGTCTTGGGTTTCATCGTTAGCACACTACGAGGTTTGCAATTTGCTTATTAACATAATGCGGTATTAAATAAACTGAAATATCATGAAAATAGCGTAAATTAAATTCTGGATATTTTTTGTTAGAATCGCTTTTAATGCAAAAAATGCATCTCGAAAATATTACACAAATGAATAAAATCATAATATGTCCCATGAAAAATTTTTTACACTGAAAACAGAACAAAATTCTAAACTCATACCGAAAAGTGCAGCATAAAACTAAAATAAGCACTTCATTTTGTAACAAGCATAATGTCTTCAACAAGACAAAAAAATTTCTCTAACTTTTTATTTTAACTTGTTCAATAATTGCATGATTTAACTAATTTTAAAAGCAATAAAAATAGGGTTTGGTTCTACTTTATTTAATATTATACATTTTTAAAACATTTTTCTCATATAGATTCATTTCTATATTTTTGCAAGAAAGCTGTGATATACAAACATTTAAAAATTATATATTTATGGCTATTTAAAGAAATACAGATTCCTATAAGAATTTAAATATAAAGTTGGAAATTTTCTATACGAAAATTTGATATTCTTTTATTTAGTTCTATTCAAACAAAAATATTTAGATAAATAAAATAAAAAACGAACTTGATTTTTTTTAACGAACTTGATTTTTTAAAAACCAAAAAACCATTTGGTATAAACCAGCCAACCCTGTTTTTAAGCCCTTCAGACAAATTATTACAAAGGTAGATTAAGCATTTAAGCAGGGCTAAAAGTTTGAGCAATTGGTACTAAAGTGAAAATAAAATTAAATTGATAAAACTATTCTTATTACTTAGTAGTTAGATGGGAACGAATCAAAATTACCAGAGCCAAAATGGTCGCCAAGTGTTAAAAGTTTGAAGAAAAAGTATAGTTAAAAATTAATTACCTTGAACTACTAAATAAAAACCTTTAATGAGTTTATCTTCTAAAAAAGCACATTTACTTTAAGAAATATTAAACGTAATAAATAAGTAATTGGCTGATGCTTGTTGACGTGCAGCTCAGCGGATGACGAAACTTGGCGTTTTTTTCCCCGAGCTTCGTATAGTACTGAGTTAGCTCATAAATATCAATTAAACTAATATAAAATGCAAATCCTCATCGGTACTTTTCCATTTCGCCGGGGGCAGGAGATAAAATAGCTAATGAAAAGTCACCGAACGTAAATAAATAAAATTGTTTTTTTTTTATGCGACAACTAATATTTTTTTGAAAAATTAATAAACAAATAAATAAAATAACTGAAATTATTTGTGTGGAAAAGTACCTCGAAGTCCTTGAAAGTTTATATCTAGTAAAAAATTGAATTAAAAATAGTTGATCCTACTGAATCACAACTAAATATTGCTGAGTAGTTTTGTGTGAGCATTGTTGAACTATAATTACAAATTATTATTTGTAAGTTTACAAAAAACAGTAGTAGGTGGAAAAAAGGTATTAATTAAAATATTAATAAATTAAGATCTAGTATTTACAAAAAAGGAGGGGAAAATCTGGTTCTCTTATACATAGTTGCTTAAAATTGATTGTT